TTCTCCTCGGTGCTTCGTCGCCATCAGCCATCTCAGCCCCTGAGCCTGAACCCAGCTCATCATCTGAAGCAGACCCGGTACCATCCATGAGCCCTCTACGAGCCCTCCTAGCCTTAACAGGTGAAAGCCTTCAGCCGAAACCCTTGAGCCAAAAACCCTAAACCCTAAACCCTAAACCCTAAACCCTAAACCCTAAACCCTAAACCCTAAACCCTTTTTGCACAGGCTTGTCTCAGCGCGCCTGGTCGAGCTCGTCGCTCTCGTGGCAACACGCTCAGTCTGAATGTTGAACTAAGGAAATCATTTACGAGCTATACGCGGGGGCACACTGTTGAAAGAACAAACATATCGATGACTGGAATAGATGCTATCATGGAGTTCAAGCAAGACGCCGCCCTGACTTTGGAGGAGATCTTCATGCATATGGAAATCAGAAGCAAACCCAAAAACTCCAACTGGATCCATTGCACCCAGGTGATAATTACGTGTTCTAGCGTGCCAGTCCGCGAGAAGGCTTGAAAACCCTCCGACACATGGAGCCAGTGAATGCTGTAGGCGTCCCCCACGCACCGCACGAACACCCCGAGCCGCCAGGGAACCTCTAGTCTGAAAACATCTCGCCAACGATTCGTGGAAATAGCATGTAGAACTGGGTGTACATGTAGAAAGGCTTGCTTACGACTGTCAAAGTCTGCAATCCACGCCTCCCTATCCTGCGCCAATGCTGTGAGCGCAGCGGTGTCCCTGCCGCTTGTGGTGCAACCCCATCGCAGGATGTGGTGTAGAGGTCCCGGATGCGCTTGCTTGAGACTGCTCATTGAAAGGACCTCTTGCCGAACTAGCGCGGACTCCTTCATCCGCAACACATGCCCCAGATACGACCACTTGCGTTTACACCAAATGGCAACCCATTGCTTCTCGGGCTCGTGAGCCAGGACCTGTAACACAGTTCGCCGTCGGACCCGGTGCAGGAAGACTGCTGCTTCTTTGCCCAGGCACTCTGGAATGTTGAGCCCGAAGAGTTGGGTCAAAAAAATTACCTGTTGAGACTGGACCCTGGAAACATACTTAACAAGAGGTTCCATCAAGGGGGCGTACCAGTACCAGGTACCACCAATATAAGTGTTGCATAAACGAATGGTGGCAGACAAGCATGACCAATGACCCTTGCGGACACAACAGTGCAACGACTCGTAAGCTGCATGCGTGGCCCGCACGCAGGCATCTAGAAGGATTGCTGTGGTGTCCGTGTAGCCACTCATCACCCCAACTTCATAGTGTGTGAGTGTTTTCTTGAGATAAGTGCATGACGTGGCCCAAGCTACACTTGTGAGAAACGAATGCTCAGGGAACTCCATCGCTCTACCCACTTCAAGAACAGAGGTGTGGGACATCAGGGTGGTCTTCTTGGCATTGAGCCCTAAACCCATTGGCCGCAGGACTTGTCGCAGCTCTTCTGTCAGCCTCACTGCTTGTGGCCAGCTGTCAAAGGCCAGCAACAAATCATCCATGAATAGGAGTGAAATCGTTGAATGACGGGTGTGTTCACCTCTTTTCTTCCACTCTGACTCCAATTTCTGGCACGCTCGTCCTAAGATGTATGAAAACAGTATTGCGCTGTGGCTTCCACCCTGCTGTATTCCAGTGCCTTGCTCAATATCCCATGAATAGCCCTTCCAATCGAACATAAGTGAGGGCAAAGTCAAGAGCTTTAGCATCTGGAGAGCCTCGCTGCCATGCTGGGCCTCACACTCTTCAAGAAGAAATTGTGCGATAGTAGAGTGCTCTAAAGAGTCGAAGGCTGCTTGTATGTCAGCTGACAAATAAATACTGTATTGGCATTCCTTGGAGTCGCGAGTTGTTCTGCACTGCGCCGTCATCATTGCATCGCACACCTGCGACCCCTTGATCCCTCCCAGCTGTATTTCTGGCACAGCCCAGGAGGCAGCAAGGCGGGAGACCAATAGCCAACACAGAAGTTTATGTAGGCTCTCAAGCATGTTAATAGGACGATAGTCCTTTGGGCTCGCGATAGCGGCAACTTTGGGCAGCAGAGCTACTTGTGCTTCACACAGCGCCGACGGGAGGTCCCCTGCCCGAAGCAGTTTGTTGAGGAAGTCGCACAGTAGCTGCTGGCCTTCCGCTAATTGCCAAAGGCTACGAGGTATTCATTCGACATACCAGAAGGCCCCGAAGTCCTATCCCACTTCAACCTGTTGATACATGCCTGTATCTCGTCAATAGTGAAGTCCGGGCTGGGGCAGTCACATGCACGTTGTGAAAAGATGCTGGCGGCCTCATCAATCATGGCCTGTTGACTTGCTGAAACGGGGCGTTGAAACACTTGTCGGTAATGATTCTGTAGGGCAGTAGCTGCCTGCGACAGTCCCCCTGAACTTTCAACAAAGGTGTCCGTGCTGCCCTTGTATGGGGAGTAGCGTTGCTTCAGGTACTTGATTGCCTGGGCATCGCCCTCTCTGCTCCTCTGATGCAGGGATTGGAGCCAGCACGTCTTCTCGACGTGACGGAGTGACACGATATGCCGCGTCAAGGCAGTTCTCTCCGAGGGATCAGTGGCCAAACGTCGGGACAAGCAAAGCGCCTTCAAGCTGGGACTGTCAACATGTTTCAGGGATCCTTTGGGGTAGGAAACACGCCGAGCAGACGAAGTCAATACTTCCCATTTTCCTCGAAGATCAGCTGCTTCTGCGTACTGGTGGCATACCTCATGAATGGTGCTCTGGAGCTTCTCAGCATCCACACGCCACCTGCCACACTTGCTAGGACGACCTCTTTTGCGTTTCTTGCTTTCGGTCTGGCATGGCGGAGAAGATGCTGGGGGGGTACCGCGCAGAGCAACAACAAGCGAAATGCAACAATGATCACTGCCCAATTCTGTACGTGAGGAAGGATGGCAAGTGACATGGAGGGCTCCATCCTCTGGCACAGCGACCTCAAGAAAAGCCCGATTGCAACAGAAGTAGTCGAGCTCGGATTGAGAGTTTCTGCCCCATCTTGTCGCTTCGTGTGTGCGAAGCATCTTGCCACCTCGTAGCTGGATGCATGAGAAAAACTGAATGGCCCTTTCACTACCCGGTTCGCAGTTAAAATCGCCAAGAAGAATAATGGGAAGGTGCTTGTACGTACTGTACCATGAGCTGAACCAGTTCCCTTAAGGCATCGAAGTATAGCTCATCTGAATTCGCACTGTGGGGGAGGTGGCAAGATGCTATGATGCACGGGTGGCTCAAAGCAACCAACTGCACTTCCACTGCCAGGAATCTGTCACCATGCCAAGCTGAGCAGATATGCTGTACACTCTCGCTCTGAAGTAGGATCACTTGCCCCAGGTGGGAAGCGCAGGCGGTCGTGCCAACTGCCACATACTCACGAACCACTTGAAAGTCCTGGAGGAGGTACTGGCAAACACCAGACTCGAATTCCCGTACTATTGGAAGGGAACCCAGTTGACCAACCTCTTGTAAGCCAACAAAGTCAAAGAAATCCCCAACCTCATCAAACCAATGGTCGAAACGCTGCAATGCCCTACCTTGAATGTTCCAAGAGGCAAAGTGTTTAAAATTAACATTGGTATTCCAGTATCTCCTGTTGCCATGCACAGCTGGACTGGGAAGGTGTCAGGGGGAGTTGACACGTTTCTCAATCTCGGCTTCAGGCTGCCTGGCTGCAATGGCCAAAGCAGTAAGGTTGATATGGAAGAGAGTCTGCTCACCATACTCATCACTCACCGGGCGAACCATCAGCTTATTGTCCCTTGCGGCCAGAAGAGCGTGAGCAGACAAAGCCGCAACTCTTGCCTTGCCGCACCAGACAATCTGCCGACTCCAATCAATGTCCTCTTGCTGAACTGGGGAACCAGTGATCCGACTGATGAGGTTGCCGATCTCGCGCGTTGCGCGATTCTTCTTGCGGACTTCCGGGGGCTTGCTTGGCGAGAAGTAACTCTGGTCGGTGTTTGTTCTCACCCTGCTTCCATGCTTCTCCTGCAATGCATAAAAGCGAGCACGAGCTTGGTCTGTGGGAAGCTCCTTCAAGAAGATGTGACCGGTCCTGGCCCGTTGAGTGAAGACCACCACCTTGACAACTGCCAACCTGTCGTCCTGATCCCAGTGAGCAGGTTTTCGTTGAGAGCATCCTGGATCTGTCGCTTTGGCGTGTCATGCTCCCAGCCGCCGACGACAATATGACAAAAGTCAGTGGAGTCTTGGGCATCAGTTCCGGAGCCTGACGAAGGCGAGGGCGAGGAAGGACCCTGCTTTGCTCCAAGGTACTGCGCCCAAGGATCCGCCGGTGGTCCGGTAGCTGGTGCAGAATGCTGGGGCACAGTGCCAGCCCGGGGAGGGACCGCGTGGAAGGATGAGCCTGATCCAGAAGCTCGTGCAGAATGCTGGGGCATAGTAGCAGCCGGAGGAGGAACCGCATTGAAGGATGAACCCGATCCAGAACCTTTGGAGACCGCGTCTATTCTGCCAGTTAACTCATCAAGCCGCTTGTTGACTTCACTGATATCTCTTCTACGATCCTCACTCTCCCTCTGTAACAGGCCTCCAAAGGCAGCGACAGAATTGTTGATATCCCTCACTTCGGATCTCAAAGCCATCTGAAACTGTTCTATCCATGCAGGAGGTGCATCGGAAGCTGGGGGAATTGCAAGTGTCATGTTTTCAGCATCTATCTGCTTCTTGCGCTTCGGCTGCCCCTCCAACCCAGCATCACTCATATCTTCGTCCTCACTGGGCAATCGAATAGTCTCAGCGTTCGAAGCCATTGCCCCGTCGACCCTATCTCTTCCTTGAACCCCAAACCCTTGAGCCAAAATGGCTACGGAAAACCCTAAACCCTAAACCGGCAGCACATTATTGTTGTCTTGCAGAGTCTGCACAAGAAACAGTGCGATTGTGTTAAGAAGCCCGCTGCCATTATCACATGTATCCACCTGCTGATGCTACTAGTTCGCAGTGCAGCAAGCGGGAATCTGCCTTGCAAGGTGCCGTCCACCTTAAACAGGAACTCTGCAGCAAATTCATGAAGCAAAGGTGCTTCCCCGAGCCTCGGATAGGCTCCTTTCTCTGCACGACCACAGCTTCAGACGAGATGGTTAGAAAAAAAGAGCCCAGACTGCTTCGTGATAAGGGAATGCTTAGTCCAAGACTCTTTAGCGAAACAAAGGCCCAGGCCGTGTTGGTGAGGTCCTGCAACTCGAAAGATTCAAGAGACCCGAGATCATGTGCCAGGGACGCCAGGCGTGGAGAGTGGACCAAGAGCAACGCATATGCCCAGCAGAAGTTGGAACGGTTCTGCGGTGTGGATTCCGCTAAGTGTTCCAGAAAGCGAGCCGCGCTTAACGTCATCAGCGGCTCATCCAGGGCGAGAAGTTTGGCGAGCGCCCACACCATGTTGGAGACGGCCTGTACATCAAAGGCGGGCATCAGTTCAACAGCCAAAGCTTGCAGAGCTTCCAAGAGTGGCCCGTGGAAGAGCTCCAGCATGGCATAAGCCCATGCAATGTTAGCACACTCTTGGAAACCCGCTTCCTGTGCACGTGCTTGCAACGCTTGTACCGCTTCCACTGCCTGCCCGGCCATCGCATCAAAGAGCGGCATGTCCAGGTAACTTAACTTTGCGCATGCCCAAGATACACTGGCCACGGTTAGCAGTGGTACTTCCGTTGCTTCCATCAGCTCCTTGGACACGCAGCGAATCAATGCCTGGAGCTCAGTCGAGCCAAGAACGTCAAGTCGGTCTGATGCCTTTGCCACCCGGTGAAGGGCCGTGGAAAGGTTCACAAGGTGAAGCTGCGGCAAGTGGGTGCTGCAGAACTGAAGCACGCCCTTGGCATTGCTCTGGGCCACGATGCCGAGACTCAACTGCAAGTCCCACCAAGAAGCAGACTTCCAGCCTTTCTGATGACGCCACAGCCTGGTGGAGGCTCCTGTGATCACAGCAGTTTACGCCGTTTATTTATCCCCTTTCCCAAGACATGTGTGGGTCGTCCCTGCAACAGAGCGTCGTGTATGCACAGGTTGCTGCAGCCCGACGAAGCCAGAATCCAAGCTGAACATGGCACAGGTTGGTTGGATGGGGCTTTGACAAGGCACGGGTCATGTCGAAAGAGGAGCAATGAGGCCGGCAGAGAGCTGTGGTGCAAAAAGTGCACAGAAATCACGCGGCAGATCCAGGGCAGACTGCTAGGCCAGCAAGTTGCCGAGCGGGGCTTGAACATCGCGGCTCAACATCTATAAGCTGTACTATACATTGTGAAATGTTTCTCGTGCTGGTTTGCTGCTAGCGAACTACAAGGCGGTCAATATGAACCGAATAACATTGCCTGTGTGAGTGTGATGTCAACCCTTGCTTTGCAGAATGCGCGTGTGCTTCATGAGCTGGCCCCTCGCTGCTTTATGAGCTAACTTGCTGCATGAGTTCAATCGTCGATCGCGTCAAAGGACACCAGAAATTCATCCCAACCCTTTATTACTTCAAGCTCTCTGGGTGCGAAGGAAACTCTGTCCTAGGACATTCGGGCTCAAGAACCTGCTCTTGAGCTTCGCGTGTTTGAAGTTTGAAGTGGCTCAGCAAAGCGGCCCTTCTGCATTTCTTTCACTGGGTGTTCCTGCGGTACGAGCGAATCCCCGTTTTGGTTAAAGCTCAGCATAGCTCAGCAGTGAGCCCATGACAGCGGGGCTGAAAGTGCCTAGAGGACCAGGAGACTCTGGATCAGAGAACCGGACACGTGGACTGGAGTCTAAGACCCGGCAACAGCTTTCACCAATCAAGCTTTGGACCCGAAGAAAGTTAAGCCCAAGAGCAGACGCATTGTGGCCAAAGAAACTCGTTTGCGAAAGAGTTTGGTGTGCACACGGAATTATATGAGCCTGTCACTGTCACTGTCACTGTCACTGTCACTGTCACTGTCACTGTCACTGTCACTACATTGTCACTATCAGATATCAATATGTCTCCCTAGGATGTCTCCCAGTCTCGGCCGCGCACAGCAAGAGCCGAAGCCGAGTCTCTCAGGGCTCCTGCGAGCGAAACTGGGCTGAAGTCTGCTTTAAGAAGTCTCTGCTTTGGGCTTTTTGCACTGTCAATGCTGAGCTATGTTGGGCTATGTTGAGCTACTGCTGCCTCTACACGCCAGTTGCTGTGAAGGCCCAGCACCAGCAGACGACACCTGCAGCATCCATGCTTCATGGCTGCATGATTGGAACTGAACGGAAGGACCTCGACACGAGGCACTCGAAAAGCCCACATCCCGAGTCGCGTCGCAAAGTTGCTTTCGAGATCACCTGAAAATTCACAATGGTGATGGTTCCAGGTGATGTGACACCAGCGGCTTGTTTGCAAAAGCAGAGCCAGGCTGGATGGATCAGCAACTCAATTCACTCACGCTTAATGTTGCAGCCAGGTGTCACAGGATGCTGCGAGACATCGCATGAAGTGCATCGCCGAGCTGACAGGAGGGCGCGCTCTCTTCTCTGCATTTCACACTCAACGGCTGCGCACTTGAGCCTTCCAGCTCCAAGACCTTGAGAACCTGGGCGTCCACTGAGGAATACTGAGGCGAAGCGTTTGCGGCATCAGATGCACATGCGCATCAAAGCATAGGCCAAGCAAGAAGTACTTCAACAGCAGAATGCATATAACAGGTGCATGTGTTTTTGATGCCTGTTTTGCTTGTCATTTTGTCTGGCTTCCTTGGGCCTTGATAGAAAGACTTCCATGTTGCCTGGAGGTTCATAGCACGTCCCCGATGTTTCCGAGGGAAACCTCACACTGGAGGAGACGAGAGGGGAGACACGAGAGAGCGCGTCTCGTGGTCTGGTTCTGCATCTAATCTAGACCAGATGTCAGACATCGACGGGGACGAATCCAGTGATCGGGTTCTGCATCTCGAGGGAAATTATGTAAGGCTATAGGGGAGACAAGAATATGGAAGGGAGACAAAGAAAGAGCGCGTGTGAGAAATTGCTCGATTGTTCTTAATTTCCTGTGGTCTTTCGGACATCAGCCGGGCCCGAAATTGTGCAATGGAGAAGCCCAAAGAAGCAAAGCAAAGAATGGAGAATCCAGACGGAGGGTTCTTGAGCCTGTGAAACGTGTGTTTTGGCATTTTCGCTGCGCTTCGTTCAAGAATTGTTTCTCCTCATTCTGCGCATACAATCCGAGTGAGTTCTGCATCGTTTTTTTGTAGAAAGCCTTAAGAAGGTCCTTGGACATGTTTGGACTTTTGGGGACCCCACCCGAGCCCCACTGGTGCCCCCTTCATGACATCGACCAAACTGGTGCGTGTCATGGAGGGGGGCGTATTTCCTTCTGTCATGCTTAGCATGCTTCTTCTTCTCCTGTCAAGTCGAGTTACCTCCAATTCCGCCGCTCCTCTGGCAAGATGCGCTCTTGCCTCAGGTAGCCAGTACTGCAGCTGTAATCGAACAAGCTTCACTTGCATTGAGGGTTTCATATCTCATCATATATCCCTCTCTCTGATTTTAGATGCGTGGCAGGCAGGGCGAGCTTGCAGACCTCGGTAAGCGCCTGGAACGGGGCAGATGAAAAAAACCGACTCGCTTGACTGATCTGGATTTCCGAGGGTCCGCTGTAGCTCTGGCCATAAGAATGACCGCGGCTGCGAGCCTGAGCGGCATGTCACTGCACCATCACGGCGAAAGCGAAATCCACGATGAAAGTTCTGACACAAAGCATGGCACCTTGCGGGGTCTACAACAGTTCTACAAAACTGCTGTCAAGTCTCGCCCCCTCAAGTCGGACGTACATGAAAGCCTGAGGAAGGCAGGGTCTGCAGTTCTCATCTTGTGAACGACGTCTAGAGTCTAGCCAGCTGGCAGCTCCACACCATCTGCACCAACCCAGGGTCGTCCTTCTGAGACCTGATGTACAAACGCAACCTTTGCACAATTTTCAGCTTGCATCATGCACTGGGGTAGGACTGAGGAAGATGCCAGCTGCAACAGGAGATCAATCGCCGAGACAGCGCTGCAGCGCTCGCGTTTTCGCTCTTCGTCCACGCGACACAGCTGCAGGTGCCACCTGGAGCGCACTTATTGGGAGACTGCTTTATCAGCAACTGGTCTCTTCATGTCTCTTCCAGCTAAGAACCTGAGGGTGCCTGGGCGATGTAAACGTATGTATCACCAAGCGTACAATACAAGCTTTCGCAATCACAAAACCGAGGGACCTCATTAGACATCATTGCTGATACCAAAAGGGAGGGGGCAGTTCTGCACTTTACGTAAGGAGCTCACGGGAGCGAGGCAGTAGAGCGACTTGGACAACGGGAAATGTGAACGGGGTGAAGGCGGGGTGAAGGCGGGTTGTGGGCAGGAGCACGGCTTCGAAGATCTTCGAAGCCAAAGCGGCCACTTCACGTTTGCGAAATCATGCGGACTGGATGGAGCTGAGCACCGCGATACACCGCGATACTGAGGTGCTGTCCCTCTAAAGGCTGCGTATTTGAATCCTCGAGAGCTGGCCGCGGAGCACGACAGGCTCCAAGAAGGCAACAAGCTGCAACTATAGAACGATGTCTGAGTCGTTGTCGGATGTTGCCGGTACGTCGAAAAATGTCGAAAACACATGCTGCAGCTCATCGCGGGGCCCCGAAAACACCGAGAAGGTCGTCATTCACAAACAGTACTTGCGGCACCACAGCGAGAGCCCCGAGTGCACACAGATTCGCACTTCGCCACAATGAGCGCGACTATCAATGTCCCGGTCCTCTACGTAGACGTAGGAACTCCATAGTGAGAGCACTGCTTGAGGAACTGCCACGGCAGCAGTCCACCCGATCTGGCGAGCAAAGACGCGTCGTCTCACGTGAATAACATTATGTCGTGCATTAACAGAATGAGGGAAGAAAAGAGCGCTGCAAAAACACCATTCATTACGTTCGCCAAAAAAATTCAAATTTCAATCGGTGGAGCTCTGTGTAGGGTTCGGAGCTCATTGGTATTGTGAGCGCCGGGTCCGACGTTGAGGAACACACGCGAATCAAAAAAAAACACTCAAGGGTACAAGCATAGGCTTGGGATCCGGCTCATCGAGAAACTCCTGGCTGCCCAGCGAAACCTGGCTCCTGAAAACTGCAAAAATTCGGAAAGGTAGATGGACAAAGGGCTGCCAGTGGCATCAAGACGCAGGCCTCAACTCAGCTGCAGCTGTATTTGAGACACGCCTGACCCGATCGCATCCCCAAGGGGGCAGACATGCCACGACTCCACGACATCGCGGGGATCCAAGGCACGCCTTCGCTTCGGAGCTTGATGGAGGCTCATTTCGACCACCTGGGGAGGACGTTCAGAGAGCTTCCTGCTTCAGAATCGCGTCTCCTTGCACATCGCAAACGGCCCACCTCGGAGAATGGCAGGGCCTGGTGGGACTGGGTCTTGAGCATCATCTCGAACTTCCACAGAGAAATCCTAAGCAACAGTCAAGCAGAAGCGCACGCAAGCGCCAGATCGTCGCAAACACCCGATCTGCTAGAGGAGACCTTGAACAATCCAAGTCTCAATGGAAGAAGAAGACCACAAAACTCCTCCTTCCATGGCACGCTCAGCGGACTTAGACCTGTTAGCAACATACCTGCCATCTGGGACACATGTCTAAAGCCAGTGTTTGCACCTCCCGGGAAGATTTTCCCGCCACTTTCTGCCACAGATCCAGTAGCACCAACGCCGGCAGCTTGACGCTCAATGGATTCATGGCAAAAGGTGTTTCCTCGGCGCAAGGGTTGGGACGGTTGGGACTCAACATGCTACTTGCAGTCAAAAGCAGTACACGGATGCTGCGAAGTCTCCGGGCCCCGAGGTTCAACAAGTTCTGGGTGATTGCAAACCTTTCCTTGCGAGATGGCCGGTCAACCATCCGAACAAGCACACTTGCGTCCCAAACTGCAGATTGGATCCTAGGTTCAATCATGTCATGCTGTCAGGATTCGTCAAGCTCCCGTTCAACAGAATTCGACTGCAAATATAGCGTTTGGAGAGTTCAGGGCCGCTATAAGAGGGGAAATACCCAGGCACAGCAGCTGCCCTCGTCATGAAGGTTTAGGGCGCTCAGGGAATGATTCGTCCAACAAAACCAGGCACGAGACCCATCTTGAGATGTTGACATTCGTGTTTCAATTGGATTCATGCATTTGCTGAGGTCAACACCATAAATACTAGCAATCTGGCTAGATGAATTCACAGCACCTTGCCTTTCGAAGTACTTGCAGCTTGGTTTGACGCAGGATTTGCAGCCGAGCCGGGGGCCGGCTGGATTTGAGAGATCCGAACGAGCTGTGGACCTTTTGAATTAAGTACATGAAGGGGTCTCCTGCGACATCTCGGACGACCTTTGCAATCCTCTTCGCGAGCTGATGCAGGCTGTCACGCACGTCACCCTATAATCTCACATGCTATGATGCGCAGGCGCGCCCGAGAGGGTTTATGCCGCAACTCAATAGCAACCAAAGCCCCCAACAGCCTAGCGGAAAGAGAACTTGCCCAAAAGTGCAAGAAGCCATGCTTCATAGCCTGAGCCATTGCAGTTATTGTGTATCGGTCTAAGAATGGGCAGCTAGGGCCAGTATGCGCTTGTGCCACAAATACAGGGTGCCGTTCGGAATGCTGTCCGGGGAAAAGCTCATGAAACAAGATGTCTGGGGTCTTTGCCGTATACATCGATCAACCAATGCAACTCTGCGTGTTCGGCATCTCTCGCTGTTTGGCCTGTGCTTGGTGTTGTGCCTTCCATGCCATGGTTCCTCAATAGGACAGCCGTGGAACCCCCAATGGTATAACTTGTCCCTGACATGTCGCAGAGCCTGACATTTCAAAGCCAAGCATGCACCGACCAAGCTCCGGCTGCAGCGAACAATTTCAGGCCGCACTGCACAAAGGTTGTTGTAAACCGAGTTGGACATGATAAGATGCTAGCAATCCATTTGCCATGACTGTTTCTTCAAGAGGGTTACCGATGAACACATTTGCAGCATGGCCTTTTGGCAAACATAGTGCCAAATAAGCCGGGTCATGACAGGTACGTTTGCTCCTTGATGCTCCTCGCCTATGTTTCGCACACATCTCAAGAAGCTACTTCCAGTAAGTGCCGAGTCTCTCAGCTGCATAAGGATACCTGAAGTGCGAAGGCTAAGGCTGCCTGGTTCAATTCATTCTCGTGACATGACAATGCAAAATTGCGGCTCAGAGCACCCATCATTCTCAAGTAATCGCCGTTCTTGAGGATTTGCTGCGTCTGACGCCTGTTCCAAGATGTGCATCCCAGGACATGCAAACTGCAACACCGAATAACCAGTGAGTGGCGCGAAAAACACACAGCATGGTGGAGAGACGCTTGAAGCCTTCTCATGAACTCCTCGTAGAGGACTTGTTGACGACGGGATAAAGGGCAAGGCACCTGAGCCACACGGTGAATACTTTCACTTTCAGTGGCATGTAAAGGCCCTCTGCAGTTCTGAACCTGCCTCTAGCTTCCGGCCCAATTCGTCATTTGGACCCAGCGGAAACTCACATATCCTGGGGAACCTGTACTTGAGAAAGCCCCAACGGCCCTATAGCCAAGCGCAGAGTAGGCTCGGTGTGTTCGTGCTTCTTGGGTAACTGACGTTCCACATCACTTTTCAACCTGCAGCACTGCGGCCATGGTCTTTTTCACCCACAGAGGCTTCACTGGGCACGGCCTTCGCAACATGAAGGGTCTGATAACTTTGTGCAGTCGCGCCACGAGTTCCTCACACATAGGGACATAGGGCTGCTGCGACTACAGATCGCACGCAAAGCTTGCAGGCCGGAGTAGCTTTGGAGCTCCTGCTCCTTTTTGAGACGGTTTTCGTGCAAGGCCAGGTGCAGCGGGTCTGCAAAAAACTCCTGAAACAGCCGCACATCATCGCCCGCCATGTCATCTGTTCAAGGCAACTATCCCACCTTAAAGTCCGCGTAGGATTGAAACATATCCTGAGCTGCATAGCCGCTCCGTGGCACACAAACCATTTGGGACCCTTGCTAGAAATCTTAGACAACTCACAGCATCTGGCAAGGAGCTGGCATCAGGAAGTGCAGGAGGGACCAAAGCTCCGCAAGATTGTTTTGCAGAGGCGTCCCAGTCAACAGCAGTCGGTGCTCCGATTTGAAGCCTTGGTGCCACAGACTCACCCAACACAGGCATGGTGAGTAGTAGTTCAGGTACCCTCGGCATAGTCACGTGCGAATGAGTAGTATCACCACAAGGTGCCACCGAGACACGCATCAACTGCTGCCACCTCTGAGACCGATAATTCCTGACTTCAAAAGCCGTTTTCGTTGAAACAGAACATATCCTACAATCTCGCCTTCAAACAAGCGAAACTATTCTCAGAGATTGTTGCTGCGAACAATGCCGTGCGTCTTGATGTTTTGAGCTTCGTCCAATATCAAGTAGTGCCACCGCTTCATTTTCCTTGCCATCCACATCAGATTCCAGGCTGGAAGAAGCCCATACTGTACCGCCAATGAAAACGCATCAACTAATGAAAGCAGCCTCTTCTATGCGAAACGAAAAGGTGCAAGAACAATTCCTTATTGAATGTGCGCTCTGGGTGTGAACAAAATAGACAAGCGAATCATGCGGACTAGCCAGTGAATGTACTTGAGCATGGCGTTCGCTTGCACCTGTACTTCACATGCGGACTGCAAGGAAGCGACCGTGAAGACACAGACGTGTTGTAACAAGAGTGAGGGAGACTGATGCTATGCGCTCGCAAGGCAGAAGCTCAATGTGCTGAGGTCATGCGCTTTCTCCGCGTCGCGTGTAAATGAATGCGATTTTTGTTGGGGGGGGGGGGGGGGGGGGGGGGGAGGAGAGAGGGGCTTTTGTGGTCCCTTTGCGCGAACAAAACGCCTCGCGATTGAATTAGTTTCGCGCGCAAACAAAGACATACCGCCCAACCCCCCCCCTCTCATGAAACACCTTCATTTCACACACTTTTTTTGCAAATGAAGAAAGCTACTGAGGTGTGATTGAAACGACTGACAGAAGAGAAACGCACCGTTGAAATCGGAATACATGCAGGTTTTTGGGAGCTCGTGGGTAATTTTGTGTGATGAAATAACTTCACGTTGCGCTAGATATTTGTTACGGGTTTGTACGTCTCACTGTTAGACATTATCGGAGTTTAAATTGAAAGAGCAGCATTAAATTATGGCCTACTGGAAAAACCACAAAGAAACAAAAGACAGGCAAAGAGCCAGGAAATACAAGGATGCAGCAGAGAGTTGGCTGAAGAACATTCAAGACGAAATGGTAAGATTGTGTAACGCGTACAGAACACGTAATTGCAAAGGATGGTTTGGAAAAGTGCCATGACTGGCATCGGCTAGTAAGTATTAATGAGCATGTGTACATCTTTTGATGTACGCGCTTATCTATGTATACATGTGCGATTGAATTGAAAGAACACCGACCGGCCGCCAGTCAAGGCGCAAAGGCCGAAGGTCTTGCAGCACGACCGCATACCTCGAAGGGAGCGGCTTGCCAAGAATGGTCAAAAAGCACTCATGATTAACCGACAAAACTACAGGGCCAAGTTGCGAAGTAACACAAACGTGAAATGAATCGTCATTGCCCCATCCGCGTCGCTTGTCTCGGCGCTCCTGCACATTTTCGAAGTCGGACGGGACACTCGAGATGATGAGCTTCCCTCTCACATGCACGTTAACGATCAACATGTCCTTCACAGTGCCATGGTACGCGCACACTTTCAGGCCTGCCGCACCACAAAACACACCAAAGGCACAGAGCAGTTGGTGCCACCATGGCGCCTGGTGTCCATTTTTGTAGCTCCTTGACCCAGTTCATCAGCACGGAAGTGGGAACCACGACCAGGTGAGGACCCCAGACCTCTTTCCTGGCAGACGCTGCCATTCTAAATTCAATGTAGGAAATAACCACACGGGGATGCAGCTCAGGTTCTGCACGGCAAGATGGGCCATCAGTGCGATCGTCATGACGGTCTTGCCAAGTCCCATCCTCTGTCTTGGCATCTCGTCACACAGCCCAACACCAAGTATTTGCCAAACGTGCCTCCGCCTAGCCGTTCTTGCAAGCAAAGCTCTCATCGGCCAGTATACCATTAAAATGATTGTCGTGCAACGTGGCCAGCCAGTGCAGACCTCGTCAATGGCTGAGGTATCGACTGAGTGCTGCTGCCAGGAGGCACTTTATATTTCTGAACTGATATGGAGTCCGGGCCTATGTGCTGATACCTCAGGTCGAACAGAGCACCCGGCCAACTCTCAAAGTCATAACTGGCTCGAACCGCACATGAGAGAACCGCACATGAGAGGCTACCAATCAATCATTCCAGCATCAATTCGACGAAGCACTCACGGATTGGATGTCGTAGCAGGAGGACCGGCACCTCGGTCGTGATCTGCTTGGACATGTTGCGCCGATCGAAATCCTCGCATTGGAGCCTGACTTGCAAGCATCAACGCTTGCAGGCGCTTGCACGCATTCCTTCTGCAGCACGTGCACTTGAAGTGCAAGCGAAGAGCCGGGAAGATCGTTCCAGCTGTTCCAAGCTATTCTCAGCCTGCCCAACGCACATCGGAAATCCACAAACCACTTGCAGACTGGAGGAAGCAAGCTTTCACACTTTCCGGGCTTCTGTTGGTTGCGCATTTTGTGCTTACAGGGTGGGGTTCTACAGACAAGTGCCGGAGGAGAGCTCAAGCTAGCAGCCAGAAGCGGCTATGCGCCATTGTTGATGACTTGCCAGCATCGAATCCTGAAACATTCAGTGGTTCTGAAAGTCCAGCCCAACCGACTGAAACATTACCGCATGCCAGCAAAACACTATATGCATGAGCAAGGACGCACCCATTGCTGCCAAACTTGCCAAGTGCCACCCTCAGCCGGTTGTACATGCTTCAAGACTCTTAAGCCACTTGAAGCCACTTGAAGCCACTTGAAGCCACTTGAAGCCACTTGAAGTCACTTGAAGCCACTTGAAGCCACTTGAAGCCACTTGAAGCCGCTTGAAGCCACTTGAAGCCACTTGAAGCCACTTGAAGCCACTTGAAGCTACTTGAAGCCCCAGGTGTTGCAGCCCAATTTGGGCAGGCCAGGTGTTGCAGCCCAATTGGGCAGGGAGTCAACCCAAAAAAACTTCATCTACCGAAAGCCCGTACTGTACTGTAGCCACTGTAGCCGTACTGACAAGGAGCACATGCTGACACTTTCCATCAACTTCCAATGTAGTGGGGGCAGCAAAGCTGCGGACCTTCTGCTCTAGGTGCGATCGGTTTGAATCTGCTCTGCAGCTACGCGCAGCTTCTATGAAGTTGTGCTACGAACCTTTGGGGGCCGCTTTGTGCCGGCCAAGTTCACCGAGCATATGCTACGCATATGCTCTTAAAAAAGCACTCACTTCCCGAATCACGTCCGAGCGATTTTCCCGGTCAAGGGGGAAAGGTGTGTGACCTGCGTTGCGGCGTGAAGCGCAACGTGAAGCACACTTTAGCCACTCTTTCATTCCGACATCCTTTGCTGGGGAGCTGACCCCCCTCGTGTTCAAGCACACGCCGCTCGTTGGAAGGAACATAGCTCTCCACCAAGTATTGTGACTGGGCTAGGTAGGGGTCAGCGCGTCCCAAGACGTGCAGAGATGGAACACCGCCTCTGAATGCAAAACGATCACACTAGACTCACACCACAACAGACACTTGGACGGAGGAGGCCTGAAAAATGCATTAACATAACTCGGGATCGAACGAATGGGCAGCTGCGGCGGGGACCCCGAAGACCACCATGAGCGCGGCGTCTCATCCCAAAAACCCCAGATCCCTCCACAAAGGTTCACCGTGCAGCGCAGGCCCAAGTCCATCTTGGAACAGGCCTTGCATAAACAAGATCAACATCCTTACTGGACTACTGCCTACAACACAACTGCTACGCGGCTCCCGCCTGCTTGGCCAGCAAGGCTGCGGCGACATTCGCGCCCTGGCTAAAACCCACCGTTGCGAAGAAGGGGCCATGCGCAGCAACCTCTGCCACCGTGTCCTTACTTGAACTGCAAGCTTCTTGAGCATCTCGCTTCCATTCGCTTCCAAAAGAAGGGAAAACTCACGTTCGTCCTTTGTACTCCGTTTTCTGATGTTTTCTGCGCTGTGCAACCTCCCAGACATGCTCCAGGCCATCTGCCGTGTCATGGCCCGCCCGCCAGCGCTTCGCAGGGTCCTTCGCGCCTGGAACCGATCGACTGCAGAGGCTGCGTCAGGCTACTGTGAAGCTACGAACCGGCCATTGACGTTGCATTTTCCCCAAGTTCTCCTGGATCGTTTCGTAGGCTGAAGTACTGCCACGCCTCTCGCTGGTGTGGTCTCAAGGCGATGTTCCATGCACCCGCTGCTTCAGGTGCGACCTCCCCGAAGAAGTCTCACAATCGGAATTATACTTATACACCTGGCTGTTGCTCCACTCCAGCCTTTTGTTCCCGCCTCAGCTGGCAGATGTCCCTGCAGGAAGTAGAAGTGTAGATCCGGGTTGCTGCGGATGAGCCCGGCAAGCTGGCCGCGGAAGTAAGCCTCAACAAAATCCACCCTTGCTCTGCTGGCGACACTTGAACACACTTCTTCTCTGTAATCAGGTCAGCAAGCATGTCAAGTCACCAAGTAGTGGCGAAAACAACCCCGGTCTCTCGCACACGTTGGTTTCACAGTCTGCTGATATAATTTCCGTTGTACATCGTTGTACCGAGACAAGAGCCTTGCGAAGGCCACTGCAAAGCTCACCGAAATTACAAGATTCCTCCGCTTTGTTTGGACACGCAGTGATGCCCAACCCCGGTTGGATGTCCAGTTCAACGATATCGGATGGCGTTGGGACAAGGTCAATAATGGCTGGGTGTGTCCCAAAGTTTCTCAAGCTTTCCAGAGCGAGCATGAGTCCCTCGGATCGATCAAGAATTTCTGGTCTTTTCGCGTGCTCCTTCGTATTCGCTTCTAGCTCACGCCATCTCACCCCCCCGGCAGGAAAGAAAAGCCGTCATGAGTGGACAAGAAAGGCACGAGCGAGACAGAGGGAGAGAGAGAGACGGAGAGAAAGAAACCGAGACAGCAAGGGGGGTGAGCGAGGGAGGGAGGGAGAGGGAGACGGGAGGTGTTACCTGCCCGTGTGACTTCATTTTGGACGCGCACCTCCTGACGAAAACTTCCCTTTGCTGGCCCAGGGGCACTGTTAAGGCCGCGCCCATGCAAGCACAGAACTCGAGGCTTTGCCAGCATGACCATGCCGACTGCGGCTAGCGCAAAGGCATGTCTGCTAACCGAATGCTGCTATAAGACAAGCACCCTTTCGCAGAAGTAAAACTGTGTCTTAGCGGCGCAGGAGTGGGCATGTCTGCTGAGCAACCGTATTGCTCAGGCTTTTCAGAATGAGACTTCACAATGGCTCCGGAAGCATCGGAATCATGGCAGCAGCTTTCAGCAGGTGCATTCTGATGCATTCTGGCCGCCTTCTGCTTAGCCTTAGTCCTGTCGCCGAGCTTGCCTGACTCCTCATCGCCAATCGCTTTTCCAAAGCTTGACTGTTTTACTCAACCCATGACGCTCTTGTTTGTACGTGGCCGTTTCGCCCGCCCCGGTCCGCGAACAGCTGCGTGGTGACCTCACTGGAGAACGCCTCGCTGCGAGACACCAGCGCCTTGGCCATAGGGCTAAACATTTCACAACATGCACGCTTTTGCAAAGGCATCGCGATCCTGCATGTTTTCAAGGTGCTGCTGGGTCTTGGCAGCATGCCGCTGCTGTACCTGGCAAACCCATGCAGGCTCAGGAGTGCGCAAGGCTCAAGCCAACTCACACCTAAACTTCCAAGCAGTTGCGGGGCATTCAACGGATGCAACCGCATGTCAGGTGTGCAGCAAAGTACTCAGCAGCTCGGCAACAATCACTCCAGAACTTCGCGATCTCCTGGCTGTGTTCGTGTGTGCGCACGCATGCACGTGCACGCGTACATGCGCACACGCGCACGGGCGTGTGCATGTGCGTGGGCGGGAGCTAGGTTTTGTTTTGGGTTTTTTAGCTTTTTCTTGGTTTTGTTTTTGGTTTTCGGCTGTCCTTCAAAGTAATTTTGCTTTGCAAGGCATGCAGCATTCATTTTCAGACAGTTTAGGGTGTTTTTCTGCGTTGGCCTAACGTGAGAAACAAGGTTGACTCCAACAGCCGCCGCCCCAAGTAAGCAGTAGGGTTGGGGGCGGGGGGACACACCCTCTCCATTTGATGATGGAGTTTGGACAGGATGTATATGCTTTGAAGCTAGCTCGCACAGGTAAAAAAAGGCCGGCGGGGGGGAGGGGCGCAGCCCGAAACAAGTTCCTTTGTTGGAATCAACCATGAAGCCGAAAGCTCGTTTTCAACACTTTCAACCTGAACCGAATGATCCGGATTGACATCATGAGGGGAATTTCCATTGGAGCAAAAATCCTTCACCCGCCGCTACCGCTGCTCTCGCGGCAGTGCCCTGTGTGATTGAGAAAAGCAGCCTCTCAGCGGGACCGAACGAACTTGCGAATCCTTGATGACCTAATGGCGACTTGATTCACATGATACGACTGATCATGATTCGAAACAACCCCGTGTAAGGCAGCAGAAGAAAATTCCATTCCCTCCATTGATATTGATGACGATCCCGAAAATTCAGCAGTGATGGCCAAGTCCAACAAAGACATCCAGCAAGTCTTGGAGAGTCCCAAATCCACCATCACAGGTGACCATCCTAGCGGGATCAACAACATCCGTAAGCCTCACCAAGAAGACCGACGAGCTCCTCACCTCCGAGAAGTAGTCTCGGCGTCAGAACATTCTTCAGAAGATGGGATCTTGCCGAACTGTCAGCGCGTCTTCTTCGCCATCTCAGAGATCCACAACATTCTGAATCATAAAGTTCCGAGTTCAGCTGCAAATCAATCTGTGCAGGATCTTCAGGCAATAGTTTCGCGGTCTCCATTTGTTCGTGTCTTTGGGCTACTTGTATAACGGAGCAGGTTGTGGCAGTGGCGTGTAGAAGTAAAGCAAGTTACACTTTGCAACACCATAACTTTTCAGCACGTTGAGCCAGCGAAGAGAGGGCAAACGCAAAGTTTCTTGACATGATTTCCACCTCAGACACTCGGATCTCAGCGCACAAACGAATACTGGAAAACAACACACTGGAGACTTGGCAAGAGCATGAGGCTTCCGAGCAAAAAGCTTCGGATACAATCCGACATGCACAGACGATACGCATCAAGAGCATTGCGGATCTCACCATTGTCACCAAAAAGCCGAGAAGTACACCCTTTAGGAAGACAGACACAGCAACATTCATTTTCCGTGGCTTTGACATTTACTTCTGTCCTTCCATTACAGTAACCCCGCATGTGTGCAGAAATCATGCGCTTGGGTAGCTCAGCACGACGTGGGCCCAATGGTATCTCAGACCGGGAAGTGTCCGCCCAAAACCCCAGTTCTAACTACATGTTGAAGGCCCTTATCTAGTTTTGTATCACAGATAGACACTCGTGTGTGATACGCCAATGCATTAAACAATATGTTTCTACATGGAGGGGGGCGAAACTGGCGTGCAGCCACACGGAAGAGGTTAGTTGAAATTGAGCAGCTTCCGGCATGGATCCTTCAACTTCGAAGGCAGTGCTGCCTTCAAGCGTTCTTTGATGGTCTCGGAGTCCTCTGTGACTTCCCGGAAGGTGCCGGTCCAATTGCGGACCGCTGCCAGTAACCCATGCGGCGGTCTTCATTGTGTATGATCCGCAAGAATGTGCTCCGAAGCGCTTTTGGCCGGTGTTCTGGTCAACCCTCTGTTCGGCTCGGAGCTCTTGGCTGTGCTCTTGCAAGAAACCACCCACTAAGTTGTCCCGAATGTTTTGCTACTATCGACGGAAGGTTACAGTACAAATCAACCCAAAGAGTGGCAACCAGGACCAAGTCATTGCTGGAAGTTGATAGAAGTTGTGAAGGCAACATCCCCAGAGACATATGAACATCGAAAACCTTCAGCTTCCGCCGAGATTGAGGATCACAATCGAGCGGCAATAACGGGCTTTACCCCTCAACGACCAAACACACCGGGAGTCCACACATGCATTCCGACCATGGCTGAAGCACCATGAGTTCCCCAAGAATGAGCAAGCCAGTTTGTGAGTTGAAAGGTGGAAGGGCAAAGGTACATCCCGATGACTAGGCTATACCGGCCATCAACAGCCTTTGTGAGCGAGGAACCGGGGCTACGTAAATTTCTATACTCATCGTACCTTGGAACGCTCCGGTTCCGAAACTTGATACAAGTCGCACTCGGCATATTGCTTTCTTCGCCACGATTTTTCGACATCGTTTGCTGTCCTTCACAATCGTACCCTTCGTACCTTCATGTGCGCGCAGGAAGGCGGCAATAATCTGGTGTCTGTGTAGAATTCAGGTATGGTGGCTAGAGGAGACTTTTTCGCACACGTCGCACTGCTGCTTGATATTGTGTTCGAGGTCACTGCAAGACGAGGTGGACTTGCCCCATGCAGTATCCACGTAAGCACAGCCCTTTGCAATTATAGGTTAAAGATTCTGTAGGCTACTTGGAGGCTTGCAGTGCTTACTACGGGTAAACAAAGTAAAATAAGCCCGAAAAGAAAGCATGCACTTCGCATCCCCACCCTATAGCTACATGATGTGGGAGCCATCCTGCCGTTTTCGGACTGGATTTCGGACACTTCGCAACAGGCTTCTGTCGCAGTCCGCGGCAATAAGAGGGCCACTCGGCGAACTCTTGCGGGTTGTCTGGGGCTCCAAAGATACTGGGCGGGTCTCTCGATCCTGGGGCCGTGGGCACTCCTTGGATGCTCGGTGGAACTCTCTGGGACTTCTAGGGGCACTGGGATACTCGGCGGGACTCTCTGCAGGCTTTTCTGCGGGTGGGCGCTCCAGGGATACTTGCAGGTCACGTGGCCAGATCCGCTGCAGCCCCAAGAGCTATCCAGAGCTCATCTTGGCCACGGCGGCTGTTGAGTTCCATTGACATGTCTTCAAGAGCATTGTACCTCGTCAAACCTCTTGTCTCAGAAGGGCTTTCAGAGCTGTGCAAGGGGTCTGGCCGACGACAGATTTGAGGCTTTAGAGATTAAAAGGATTTCTATCGCTCAAGGGTCTAGCCGAGTCTAGCCGCCCGGCCGACTTTCTCCGAGAGCAAACAGAAGCTGGCAAAGTGGAAAGCATTTCGATACTAGGCATACCGGATAACACATCACTCGTCACTAGTCCACCTTCTGCATGAACCGGACAGTCACTACACCACGCGAGCATCAAACATATGAACAGCAACAGCAAGGGGCCACAAGTCATAAGTCTGCGTGTGAACCTATGGCTCTCGTAAAGCCAATCTCTCCTTGGCAATCCTTGCAGCGCCCGCACGAGCACATCGGTGCTCCTCCTCCAGCCGCTGCCTCGTGGCGATGTGACAAAAACTCGCTGCAGGGATCAAGTGCTTGCAGGACATCTACGCCCCCAAACCATCACCAGCTTGTAGCAGAACTAAGCATCAATCGCTTCATTTCGTCGGTGCTGGCGCACCAGGGACTGCACCTCGCAAGAAGGTGGCACTGTCGGCATCTGCCAACTTGGAGGCTTCCATCTTGCGTCCTGTCCTGCTTGGCCGCTTTCTTCGCCACGGCTCGGCGCTTTGCCTCCAGGCGCAGCACCGCCTGGGCGGCCCTGCGGACTGGCACGGCTTGCGCTGGCAAGGCATCGACATCCTGGACACGTCCACACAGAGACCACACGACTCCAACATCGCACAACATCGCACAACATCGCACAACGAGGCTGAATGCTGGTGAATGATGAGTCAAAGTTAGCCTTCTCCGGGAACCATGTTAACAGGCCGGATACGCCCCGTCTGATAAACAAGGACGAAAGCACTTTCAGACTTTCAGGAAGCCTGCCTTACTTGCAGCCACCGCAGCCCGAGGCTGCATGGGCCGGCTCCTAGCTGGAGCTTCAAGTTTCGCACATCCTGTGTTTTCATGTCGCCTGCTAGTGTTGCTACTTTCTGTTTAGCTGCTCTAAACTCTAAGTCATCCTCCCAAGTGCACAATGCTTCCATGTACGGAGCGCTGATGGATTGTCGTGTAGAAGCACCCTGCATGCGCGGGCAAGCCGAAACATGAGGCGACTGCAACTCATCTGGCATTGGCGCCATGCTTCGTCATCGGATAAGCAGCACTTCAAACGCCAGCTATGCCGAAATCTTTTTTGCCGAAAACGCATGAGACTAGCAGGGACTACCCAGAACGATGTGGCGCCCTGGTAGACACAGGCCCTCATTGTATTCAGAGAGCCGGGTGTATGCTACAGTGTCTTGAACATCCTGCAGCACACATCAGAACCAGGTGCCATGTTCATCTGGAGTCTATGCCTGAACATCACACACCCATTGAGCTGATGTGCACTTGCAAATGGCCCAAATGAAAGTAGCAACATCGGAGCAGGCCTGGTCAATGGCATAGGGTGGCCCTTGAGACGACACGGATCGCGTGCCGGCGTAGCCACTGAAAAGATTGGACTTGTCAGTATCCTGGGTGCACGGGTGGTGGTAAAAAAAAAAAACTGGCCAGCTCGGCTTGTCGTGAGACCTCGGCATGCAGAAATGAAAGCGCTCTTACGGTCCAAGGCACCAGAGTCACCAGAGATGGCGAGCACAACCTGGTCGGCAACTTCGGAACATTACCGCATGTTGATCTTTCGGCTTATTCGGCTTGCACTAAACCATACTAAACCCACAGAAACAACAAAACGAATGCCATAGCGGTGGCTGGTGGCCCCCTACCGATCCCGCGTGATGATTTATCAGGCCGCTGCCCAGCGCAGCTCCTTCGCTCTGGGCATGCAAAATCACCAAAAAAAGGTGGCAGCAGACCAGCTTGACAATCGATCACACACTGCTGCATGCCCATTCAAGCAGGAATTGACTTCCCACAGCGTGGGCTCGATCAGCCGAGCATCCGCCCGGTTGGCATTCCATGAGAGCTGCCGTAGAGAAGCGCCACCTGGTCCTAGAGGCTTCGAGATCCATCAACACAATCAACAACTAGTCACTATTTACCCCATGCCACATTTCCAGCTATGTGCGCAAACATTAGTCGAATTGTTAGCAATCCGTGGAAACGATGGAACAGCACCCTTCGAAAGTCCTACCCAACAGCACCCACACACAATGAATCAAAGACATTCGCTGGTTTTCTAAGGGTGGCTGCTTTCCTACACTATTCAATGGCTTTCAGCCGCACTCAATGCACAGTGCTGAATGCGCACAGCCTTCAACAATCTCCGGCAAATGATATTCGACAGAGCTTCCAATCATTTTGAGCGAGGGTTCTTTCAATTGTTTTGTCTTGTTTTTTTTTGTCCGTCTTTCGCTTCGTGTTGACTCGTCTCGCTCAGGTGGCCTCCTCGGCTTCGGAAAGGCTGTCAATGATTGCCTACAGCTTGCCCATAATTGGCAAGGCAACGTACAGTGCTCAATCGTGTTAAGCAATAGTGGTGGTTGACGATGTTCGACGGGTGTTGATGGCACCTTTGGTGTCCGGCGATGTCATGGATCTTTGCCTGGGCGATCCTCCTGCTGGCTCCTCTGCTTCTTGGCTGTTGCTTCCCGAGAGCACCCAAGCCCCAAACCTCATGACGTCCATGGTATACTTCGTTTTGCCTGCCACACTAAGGCTATTTCGCATTATTTCGCTCTCAGGTTCCAGCCTTGACCTTGAGCCTCGAGCCTCTTCGGCAACGCCGGCTTCCCAACTGGAGTCCGCATGCTTTGACTCCTAAAGGAGTCGGGGCTTGCTATAGTCCTCAGGGCTTCTCGGGGCTTGCTACTTTGTCGACTGCCCACACTACTCGTGCCGGACAGATGGGCTGGGAAACTTCGGACTGCAAAGGACAACGAACGCCCGGGCTCGTCGAGTGACACCCATACTTCTGGTAGGCTTTCGGGCTTTGCCACTCCGTGATGTGTCATTTGTGTGCCACGACCGCGCGGTCGGCGCGTCATTGATGTCTGGGCGGCTGAGCGAAATGACAAACGTGTTTAAGTCGATCTGGTTCTGACGCTGTTCTGCTGCTTCGTCGGAACAAAAAGGGACAGGGGTGGCTTCTAATCTTTGAACACGGATGAGCTGCCACCACGCGACGGTCGACTCTTGAAGGGGGGCCCGGTGGATCCGCTTCGTCTCCCAACTGCGAGTGCCAGCTGCCTGCCACAACAATGCTCCACGACTCCCTCACAGCCCACTCACTCCGCCAAGCCTCGCTGAACAAGGTTGTGTACTCCCTGCCAACAGCTCACGTACACGTTCGAGCAACTCTATGTTATGTAAAAGACGGGTGCAGTGTCTTGCCCTGGGTCGCCTGTGTGGCGCACTGCTTGTCTTGCTTGTCCCGGAGCTTCCTGGAGGCAATGAGCAACTTGACTCGCTGGCAGAATGCTTCGTCACTCTCACAGGCTGCAACTCCTTGGTGCTGTGCACATTCAGGGAAGTCTGTCCACGAGAACGGTGTACATAGAGTAGAAAGAAATACACGAGCCAGACGAACAATGAGAGATGTCCACGAAGAACTACTCCGGGAAATGGCTTGTATCATACTTCCGACACCTGTCCTCATGGGCAAGAAAAGCCAGACTCAACAACAACAGAACAACAGACTTCACAGATGTATTTGCACGACAGAAGAAAGAAAACGGCCTTCGGCAAGAAGAAGGAAGAAAAATCGAGGGCATCGATGGCACGGAAACGGTGATCACGCAGATAGGAAGCTCTCAAGCGCGCTAGGCATCCAATGACCCCGACCCCTGGTCAAAAATGCCAAAACTGAATGAGAAGCACGATCTCTTCTTACTAAGCCAGGGACATCCCAGGAGAGGAGCCTAGCGATGCCACCGAGGCACTCTCTGGGCAGCTTGAGAGTCTTGCCGACAGTGGCGTGATGGGCGACTCAGAAACCGAGTGGCATATGCCCTTTGACATAGACTTTGGGCGACTCCCCCTAGCCGAGCTTGGTCTCGATGGCGAAGAAGAGGAGACTGGAGTTCTGCCAGATTTCACAGACCTCTGGTCACTGTGATCGCTGCTCTGTGTGCTTCGAAGCCAGGCCAACGTCTCCAAGCGCCGAGGCAACGATCTGAGCGAGGCCGCCCTGGAGGTGATTTCCTCTGTTTTTTGGGTTTTTTTCGAGTCCTTCGAGTCCTTCGAGGAGCTCCATGGTGTGCTCAATGTGCTCCAAGGGGTTGTCTTGGAGCTGCTGCGACGGCAGGTGGTGCAACTCGCGCTCTGTGAATCGTGTTCGCGTGAGTTCTGAAAGATCCGGAGATCTCCAAGCGACAGGATCTCGTCTGCCCTTGCACCGCGTCCCCCATGTTCTGTGGACTGTTTCCTCATGCAAGCTACGAAGTTTGATTTCAAGGACCATGTCTCTGCTGAATCAACCTGTCCCAACCCATCAGCTAAGAAGGCCCTTACATCCTCTTCAGGCTTTGGGTAGTGTACGGATAACGAACAACTTTCAGCATGAGCAACTCTACGTCGTGCAAAGTCAGCTTGGTGGTGTAGGCTGGGAGGCCGCCTTTGCCGTGCCCAGGAACTGTGGGCCGCACAGCGACAAGCTAACAACATCTAACAACCTTCAGCCCGATTCATTTGACATAGCCCGCTGCCTCGTCAAGCTACGAACGGAAGCTGGAACATCGCATGGAACTTGTCCCGCACTGTCCTGCGCCTGAGCCTTTATGACTTCGAAATCTACGGATTGCTCCAGCATCCAAGTCGTCACTCTGTAAAATCCAATCCTTCGGATTTGATCTTCGGATTTGATCTCGATATTAACAATGAAGCCGCCTCCATCAACTACGCATGTACGACACACACACACACACACACTCACACAAGCAAGGCCAAGCACAATTAGAGACTGGCGTGGCATGCAAAGACCATGAAGCAAAAACACCCGCATACTCGGTCTTGATGAAGGAGATGCTAAACATCTTCGCTCATCCTCATTTCAGGATGAGCTTTCCTGGCAAGCCCGAGCTCACCAAAGACTATGGCGAGATGCCCTTCGGGCAGCTGCCGATGAACTCACACTCGGGTCTCATCCATCTGCGTGTCCCTGGCAAGCCATTTGCATCATCGCAATTCCGTGCGGAAGTTGGTGGCAAAGTGCTGAGAGCTCGACATGGATCCCAAAACGCCTCTAGCCGGGCTGGCTCGCACTTCAAATGCTTTGAGGACAGAGCTAACCAGTACTTTTCGAATTTGCCACTCCAGCTACACTTCTATTCTTCTACCCTAAGGAATCCGAAGGATGTGTGAGATGCTCGAAGCGTTGCATTCGACCCTGCTGAAGGCGCGGCCTTTGGAGGCACTTCGTCGACAGCCCTCCGTGCCACACTCAACTTGTACTCTGAGGGAAGGCCAACGCAAACACGCAATGCAAATTGCACGACATGCAAATTGCACACCAACTTGCACACCTAATTGCACACCCACCACGGTGGTGAACCCACCCCTACATCATCGGCCGCAGCGCATCTGCCCGTTGATCAAACAAGAGTCTCTGAGGAGGGCCTGTTGCCGCATTGACAGCAGCGCAGCCTGAATCTCCAGAGACTGAGCCGAAGTTAGGAGCTTCTAGGGCCGAGGGGCGCTAGCCGGAGTTGCTGAAGTTGCTTTGAAGTTGCTTTGAAGTTGCTGAAAGCTCTGATGCAAAAGTCTCATCGCGAGCATCCGACCTCCATGCTTTCAAGCTGCCGAGCCAGAACCTGGCCGGCTGTGGTCGGCAACAGCAAGGAAACTTGCAGGGCGCCCAGGAAGGGGCGGTCGAACTGAACTGAAACCGAAGCCGAGTTCGTCAATTGCTGTAGGTGACGCCGCATTATCTGATCTGACACGGCCCCCGACTTGTGAAGCCGAATTCCTCGCCGGATTGCCGCCTCACGCCGAATTCGTTCCTCACGCGAAGCCTTTTGGGTTTTTCTACAAAAGCGGTTTCCGGAGTCTTTTGCTGAATTTGTGCCCTGGCGACCACCCCCAAGCTTGGCAAGAGTCGGCGGTCACTCGGGCACTAGTTCTTCCCACAAGCCTCTAGCGAGCATATAATCCGATTCTTTCACATCTTACGCCAAAGTATAAGCTTGAGGAGAATCGCGCAAGCAGTTCTTGTGGAAGCTGCTTCAAGGTACCATGAGGCAAACCAGCTAAGTAGTAGCCGTCCTCAAATTGTTGAGTCCTCAGTGCGACTTCGCAACGCATTTGCGCCTGCCCCGGCCGTTGTCCTCGCATTGCGGCTTCGCAATGCGTCTTCGCTTCCTAATTCGGCTTCGCAACACGTCTTCGTCTCCTGATTCGGCTTCGCAATGCGCCTTCGCCTGCCAGTGCATCTTCGCCTGCCAATGCATCTTCGCCTCCCAATGCGTCTTCGCCCAATGCGGCTTCGTAAAGCGTCTTCGCCTCCTAGCTTCGGCTTCGCCGACTGGTCCCTTTAAGCACTACTAGGCTTCGAAAAGCGGCTGTCGGCTTCAAGTCGATTCAACCCTCCCCCCCCAGGCTGCAGTGGAAATTGACCCGAGCACTGAGCACTGCCACAAAATGGAATGTGGCACAGCATGGTACAGCATTGAACCGTTCACCCCAACACTACCAACATCACGTCTGATGAGTTTCACTTTTGCAAAGCCCTTCAAAATCAATATGATCCAGGCATGCCTGGAAGGCAATCTTCAAAGTGCGCTTACGTGTGCTTGCTGCTAAGCCAAGGAATGCTAAAGACGAAGGAGCTTGCTGCTCACGTGTTTCCCTGTGCCATGTATCCTCGCATTATCTCGCAGGCCCCGCGCAGGCTCGGCTGTGAGAGCCGGTTGCAGTCCATGGACACATGAGGCTAAGGACCAACACAAGAAGCTGGTCGTGCTTCCGTGTTCGCTTAGTTGATTCATCTCGTTTGCCTTTCTCCACCATCCCGCGTTGCCCCCTCCACATCCCTCCGCCCAGGGTGCGATGCTCGCGGAGCCCAAGATACAGTTACCTGTATTCGCCAACATGCGATATTGGGCCTTGCGGCAGGGTCGTGCCCGCGGAGAAGCCTGTCCTAAACATGAATTGTTGAACCCTCAGCTGTAAACATCTTTGACCCAGACCATCTCCTTCGCCAAAACAGCGCCAAACACTGATGAAACAATAACAATGCCATTTGAGCCTAGAACTTCCTTGCGCTGGGGAAACGAAAAGCGAATAACTCGTCCTAGTATGTCCTGGTAACCTTGGCGGGTCAGACTGTAGCCTGGAGCTCAAAACTGCCCCAACAAAACCTTTTGCCTTTGGAATTGTGCAGCGACCTTGCAAGTCGGTTTTGTTGAGACTTCTTGAGTTTTCCAGGTGATTGGCTGCGAGTTTGTGCGGAAAGCGCACAGGATTGAAACCACCCTCTGCTTCAAGATGCATACCAGGAAGGCTACCTCACCAGTCCCCAGCGTGAGGATCCGCAACCAGAGGCTGCGACTTGCCAAGAGCAATCTTGTGGCTCAGACGAACTCTGAACACCAAACCAAACTTCTGCCCTCTTCTGGACAGTGCCATAACCAACGGAGGGATACTGGCAAACATGTTTCACGAAGCACGGCAGCACCAACAATCGGAAAGGCACCTTGAAGAGATCCTTCGTTTGTGAGTGCCTGGCTGAAGTTCGTCAGTAGGCATGACGGGGGCCGCGTACTTGCAAAATATCAAGTTCTTGCATCCCACTGATCTCGTATCTCGCATCTGCAGCCGAGCCACATAAGCTTGGCTTCAAACGACACGGACTGGAGGTCAATGCTTGTGGCAAAGCCCTTCATGCGAACCTCGGCAACCCGTCACAGACCAAAACCTGAAGTAGAGAGGGGTATTCGCCCAGCTCTTGAGGCCCTTGACACAAGCTTTCACCAAGGACTTCAAGTCCACCACCGAGTTCTGGCAAAGTGAGCACGACAAAAGGGGTTCATGCACAATGCTTGCCACATTCTATAGCACCTTATGCATCGAGCCGAGCATGTAGAAGAACAGCTTGACATTCTTCACATCTATGCCTGGGACCGACGCACAGTAAAACTCGCCAACTTTTAAAAATCACCTTGTTGGCTGGCCTCGTACCGAGAGGTACAGCAAGAATTCGGCCTCGTCAGCCGCGTCCTCATGCGAAATGCCGCACGCAGCACTTTGGCAAGAAAATCCTTGGGTCTCCGGAAACCACACTAACTTCCCATGACTTGCCTGCAAGTCTTCGAGCGAGATTTCCTCTTCGCCATCCTCATGTGACACTAGCTCGTCGATGCATTGTTCGTGGTGTTCGTGTTTGCGCAGAGAACTAGGTGGGTGGCCATGTTTTTGGTGGCATATGGCCTGAACAAGTTCTCTAACTCCTCCGTGTCTTTCAAGTCGCGCATGCTCTGCCTTGCCATGAGCACATTTACATCATGTTACAGGGCACGCACGTGACATCTGCAAAACATTTACGTGACATTCACATGACATGTGACTGACATAGCCGAATCTCAAGCAGTAATTCGGGTACCAAGGCACTCCAAAAGCATCGAATCAAGGTCTGGCTTCGCTAACTTCATCGCCTCCAAACTCTGCACACTTTTTGCAAAGACAGAAAGAAAAACGTACAGGATGCTCCATGCGGAGCTTGCCCCGGATCATGATGCGCTTGGATGTGCTTGGATCATGATGTGCTGCCCTCTTGCCAACTTAGCAAGCTAGGGCAAAACAAGTATGCTGCAATCAGTGAGGCAAAGCTGCGGTGGGAAACCGTACTTCCAATGTCCGCAACCAAGTAATGGATTCTGGCAACTGCCAGGGAGGTGGTCGCATGGTATGTGCACTGATGGATTGCACACGACGGCTTGTGACAGGAGGTTGCCAAGCTGCTTCAGCTCGGTCTCGCCTTCTCGACGAAGGTGCTAGTCACAATGTTCCAAATTGAAATGGTGAAAATGCTGATGTAGACCTTAGATGCCAGGTCGTCCCACAAAAGAGCGGTGGCCGATTGTCTGAAAAATCGCTCGTCGATGAAGTCCATCAAATAGCACCAACAGCTGGACTTGAGGCATTCGCCAGGAATACTATGGATAAGAAGGGTCCACCTTTCAAAACAACAAGAGCTTGCACCGATTCGGCTGTTGCAATGAACAAACTGAGGCTAGCACCCTTTGCAAGTGCCTCGAAAGCCTAGGAGAGGTGGCTTATCCACAATTCCCGGAGACGAATCTAACTCAAGCACGCTTCCGTGAGTCAAGTGACATCACGCCAATCGAGGCCAGCTGTAGTTGATTGGAAAAGGGTCAGGAGCGATCCTCCTCGCGATACATGCTGGGATAGCCAAGGTCCCACAATCGCGATTTCTGCCAAATGCCCAGCCTACAGACGGGTAGTAGTACTTAAGGTTGTCCATCTCCACATCCAGCAACGTATCCCCTTCCTTTGAAGAAATCCATTTCGGCTGATGACAGAAGTGGCTATGCACTGAGCGTGGCTGTGCACTGAGCCTGCGGCAGAGATAAGAAAGTCAACTATGCCTTGGACTATGAGGAGAGAGAAGACGTACAGGACGAACACAATCATTGCCTGAGGCTCATCAAGCTCCATGTTCAATGGACCATGCGCTGATCTGAGATGCCCGCTAAACACCAAAATATCTGTAAGAATGAACCTCAGCGCATCTTAGCGCAAAACACAAACCTGTTCGCCAATATTTGTGTTGACTGACTTGACACCACGGCGGTTCGTACGGGAAGTGGAACAGTTGTGCCAGGCAGCCGAGGACACAATCTAGCATGAGACGCCTGGGCTGGCATGTGCGCCGGACACTTCTGCGGACGGACCTTCTTCGCTTTTGCAGTTGCTTTGCAGCAGAGCCGCAGCTCTGTGAAGAACTTCAATGTACGGAAGACTCTCAGCACCTGGTACACACACGTACACTCGAACATGTGATGCAGTATGTCCACGCTGTCTGACTGATCGCGTGCATGCTTGCAAAAATGCTTTGCAAAGACCTTGGCCAGCTTGGTCAGCCTGAGCAGGCGCAGGAAACCTCAGCAACGCAGGCAGGACCATGAGGCCATGTGCTGTCAGCTGATGCGCGGCTAGCTCCACTGTGCCACTGCAGGCCAGAAGCCCAAGTTCAAGCTCGTATCACTTGTCGTATCGATGTTGGACTCGAGCACGGACGAGACGGCAATCTCAATCACAGAGAAGATCACAAGAGAGAAGTCGAAGATGTTCCAACCTGTTCGTTGAACATTCGCGCGAGGGGTGTGTTGGTGTTGTTATTATTTCTTGGCAAAGTGACTTTTCAGACCACGCGGCAAAACTTCTGTGGGAACTCGTTTTGCATGCGAAACGGACGCTGACATGCCCAACGAACGTATTTGGGCAGTAGTATGCAAAAAAAAGCAGCAAAAACAAAAAAAAAAACAAAACTGTAAATACTGGTGTTTGGGGCTTGTGATAGCGCATCTTGTTCCAGAAACGTCACAAATCCTTGTGCCGCGTTGCACCTCCCCGCTCACCACCCCCGTCTTCTCGCCCCCAAACTCACGAATTCTAGGGAAATCCCGACGGCGCACCGCAAGCCGTGGTCCAAATACATGAGCTTCTGATGCTAAAGCTGTCCAAGTTGCGCCATTCATTATTGACGAAGAAGTACCTTCCAATGGCCGTTGAGTAGAAGTAAAACGAAAAGGATGGAAAAGGGCTTGAAGCGAATTGAAACGGATTGAACTGCATTGACATGGTCTGCAGATGACGTGGCAACAAGGGCACATGCGGTGGACCAAAATCTTCAGGGTCAGCTCAAAGGCCTTGTGTGGCAAATGCAGAGAGCGCTTTGCGGCTTTGAGCATGGCTCCGGCGCATCATTTGAAATCACTTGAGCCCTGAGGCCCTGAGGCCCTGAGGCCCTGAGGCCCTGAGGCCCTGAGGCCCTGAGGCCCTGAGGCCCTGAGGCCCTGAGGCCCTGAGGCCCTGAGGCCCTGAGGCCCTGAGGCCCTGAGGCCCTGAGGCCCTGAGGCCCTGAGGCTCTCACATAGAAAATCGTCAAACCCAGTTCAAGCCGCTCCTGCCAAAGTGCCACAATGAGGAGCTTCACGCACGTGAGATGTCCAGATTGAGGAGGCAGCCCAATCTTCAGGGATTGGTTGCCCCAGGTTTGACAGCTCGTAGTCTGACACGATGATGATCAGGAAAGCCTCATCACTTCCGAATCTTGCAACTTGCAAGCATCCTGCAAGCAGCGTGGTTCATGTGCAGCTGCGGCACATTTGCCAGAATCACCAGCAAGCACAGCGTGGAAAACTTGTTTCCATCAACCTTGCCACCAAACTGCATCCACATCTCCGTGGGAAACATGCTGCAGAAGCAAACCCCAAAGTAAACAAGGCCGGGCGTCCATTCTCGCAAAGCAATACCTCCTATTGGGCTCCTGCAGCTGTGGCCATTTATCCTACTCTCAAAATTGGAAGACTAAGTCCAACTGAGTCCAGTTGTGAGTCCTGGAGCTGCTGAAACCACTCCATCCATGCCACCTTGTTGACATGCCGACACGCAAGAGTCGCTGATTTTGATGGTCTGATCGTAGAGCATAGGAGGCCTTGCTCAGTCTTACTCTCGGGTGCCTCTTAAAAAAAACGGCCCAAGAGAATCGGCAAAGAGTGCTCTGGGCAAGCGACCAGGCTCTGCAAGCACTGCTGCAAACATGGACTTGAAGTCTCCTTAGAAGCTGCAGGAGGTCTCCTTCTCTCCTTTGCTGTGGCTTCCACTTCCACGAATGCACTTTTCGACCCGGCCTGTGCTCGACCCGCCAAGGACGATGAGATGGTGCGCTTCTTCAAAACTGGCACGCGAGAGGGCGGTGCAATCTGTTGTTTCATGCCAGCAGTCTCACTGACTCATCTCACGATGTGAATTACATCTCACACCAGCCCTGCCTGAGCGAAGAGTTGTGGTGGAAGGCACGGAGTTGAAGGACTCTGCCTTACAGCGTTTCAGGGTATGGCTGCATGTTGCGACCCGGTATTCTCATCCGACTACGGACTACAGCGGCACGTCGAGGCCGACTGAGGCCGAGGACTCCTGATGCCAGGATAGAGTCTCGCCGCGATCGCACCGGTCTTTTCTTACCCTGCCAGCCAGATCTGTGAAGAAGTGATTGCCAACATGGCAGCAAGTCGGCCCAACACAGCCCAACCTCGTTGCTCTGCCACCAGGGCTCTGCCAGGATCGCCAAACCTGCCCAAATGCACAGCAGCACATCTTCTGGAGTTCACCATCCTTCAATCAGAAGACTATGCAGGTAAATGCAGACTGTGCACCTTCATCACCGTGATCCTCAACCTCATCCAGCAAGGCTCAGCACGTTTAGGGGTCGCGCATGTTGTTTCATTTTTGTTCCTTCATCTGCTATCGGCTGGAGCCCTGAGAACGGTCTCTCCCCTTTTCCTGAGGATTAGTGTCATTGCCTGCAGCTCTGACGACCGGGTTCTTTGCCCGAAGCACGGGCATCCTCTGGCCAAAAGTGTCTTCGCCCGACCCTTTGACGACACAGTCTTCTGAGCTTGTGCTTCAAAGCCGACACTGCTCTGAATCATTCCCGAAGTGCCATCAACAAGTGCATCGCAAAGCAGTTTCGTGGACCAAGTCAAGAAAATCGCGCTCTCTCAACTAAGCTGCCGACAAAGGCAGTTCCCCTCATCAGCGGTGGATGTGACTTGGGCTGGACTTCCGAGTCTTCCACTTTCTCGGACATTTGTGCTTCATGGTCTTCTTGTTGCAGCTGGGCCTTCGCTTGGGTTCTGTGACACCTGTGCGCTGGCCACCCGCCTGATGCCTGCTTGTTGTTGTCGGGCGAGCTGCCATCGACCTGCGATCGTACTTGCTTTGCTATGGGGCTCTGGCCCCGACCGTACTTGCTCGCATCAGTGCTGCGTCGCTGGCGCTCACGCACACGCACATGCACATACGCGCATGCGCACGCACGCGCGCACGCACGCCCGCCCACCAGTCTGTCTGCCCGCCCGCATGCAGGGACCTGCTGCAAGCTTTGGTGCAGCAACTCCGACAAGGTCTCCAATGCTGTCTCCTTCAAGGGCAGCATGCAGTGACAAAAGGGACAATGGACATGACTAGGCTTTAGGGTCAATGTAGAACTCCTCAGTTGCAAGCTTTGAACTTCACACATCTCTAGACACGGTCGTGAGCTCCACTGGCCGGCACAGTTGACTATGCTATCTATGCTGCTCTGTTGGAAACCAGCCTGGCGAACAAGAACCTCTCGAAGAACAACATGGTCTGCTTCCAGCCGCCTGGCTCTGCTTCGCTTGCCAACTGGCTTGGGCAGATCATGACAACGACCTATGCAAAGCTTTCCAGACCTGACGACGGACAGCGGAGCGGCCATCTCCTGCAAGTGGCTAATCTGCAGGCTCGAAATGCTACATGGAGGCTCAGGCTCGATGCTGTGTCATGAGCATCAACAAACCCCTGAGATAAAGCTGCAAGACAAACGGACGAGCCAAGCAATGCACAAGAACAACCGAAGAATCCACCCAGACGCATTCTTGCAGTAGCACGCTAGCACAACCAGACTCCATCCCAACAGGCCAGAGCCAACAGGAAATGGCTATCCAATCTTCCTTCTTGGAAGCGTTATGAACGGTTGGCAGTTTGTGCGACAAGAACCTGAGTACAGTATCCAAGGGACCCCCGTCGCACATGGTTTTCAGGCAAACTATGTAGATATGCAGGTGCGAAGGGTGCGTCAAGGTTCATCAAGCCAGCAAGCATACACGCAGTCTCCTAAGCAATGCGCACGGTAGCAAGCAGAAAAGTAAAGTAATGGCCAATGCGCAAACTGCAGTCCAGCCAAGCACACAGACACGCGACCGAACACTGCACTCTGCACATGATGCTGAATCCACTATGGCGTATCTGTAGGTATCATGTCCCATTTGCCCTCGCAGCCTCCATTGCAGACTTGATTGCAGGCATTAGTCGGACAGACCAAAAGCCGGAAGAGCAGAAAGGAAGTGTGCCTGAGTCCGCATGAGATTCTACGACGACGCCATCAGCCAGCGCTGCATGGACACAGTACCAAGTAACACAGCTTGGATTTGTGCAGGTGTCTGCTCTACTGCTGCCTCTTTCCTACATAGGGTGCACCTCTGCTGCTGGCTGCAACGCATGGGCACAATGATTTTCATGCTACATACAGTTACATATCATGGCAAACTTAACTGGAGCAACTCGGCTGCGAAAAAGAAATATATCTGCTGCATGCAGAACCCACATGGCACTTCTTGACATGTGCGCACGACTCAACTCTCGGGCTACCACATGCTTCCTCAATTCCGTTTTTTGTGCACCACAAGATGCAAGGTGGCGGCAGAATCGAGCGTCAGCCAAGAAATCTCTCGGAGGCTACATATGGACCAATAGCACAGAGTCGCTGTAAGGACAAGTACCCACAGGTGACCAATCATTGAGATTACTTCTTCTTGTCCTTCTTCAGTGGAGCGGTCGCCGTCAAGCTCGGCCTTCGAAAAGCACAAGTATTTTGGACTCCGCCCCGCCGAAGCTTCCTACGGCAAACCTGCAAAGATCTCGTTCGGCACTGAACGGGTTGAATTGCACATTAGCACCTTTAGCACCTGTTCCTCTCGCCATTGTCTTGTCTCTGGGGGCACGCGCACACTTATTGGTTGAACGGATGCCAACACACGTGAACATGCTCTGGTGGGGGAGGTAGAAGAAATAGAGGAGAGTCGCAAAGGATGCAGAGCTTGAAGGTGTTTGGAAACTTTTTGTCGAGAATGGTCACGCAAACCCTCGCACACCCACGCCCAGGCACACGCACGCACACGAAGGCATGCGCAGGCACACACACACACACACACACACACACACACACACACACACACACACACACACACACACACACACACACACACACACACACACACACACACACACACACACACACACACACACACACACACACACACACACACACACACACACGCACGCACGCACGCACGCACACACACACAGGGCACGACCCTCTCTTGGGCTTGTCGGTTCAACACTGAAAAAGCTCTGCGAAACGGCTCTGAACTCTGAACATCTCTTGTGTCAGCAGGTACGGTTCAACATACGGTACGGGATCTTCGCTGGCCTTTGGGCCCTCTGCTTCTGGTCCACCGTGCAAAACAGCAGGGACTTGTTGCCAGTCTTTTCATCAAGATTACTCAATCCTCTGAAAGCTTTTGGGTACAAGGGAAATGTAAATGGACAAACACTGAGAGTTTTTCCCCCCCAGGTACGCTTGCACGACTGCGTTCTGGCCCTTGCACATGTTCTCAAATCTCGTAGTCACTGAGTTGAACACACAATTACTTTGCTTTGCTCTTTGCTTTACTTTACTGATGCGTAGCAAGAGAGATTTCATGTGTGCACCCGGCAGAAGCTGACTGAGAAAACGAGACAAGAAGAGAAGAGGGGTCTCGCGGCACAGAAATATTGTTCTTGCTCTCGCACTCTCTCGCTCTCTCGCTCTCTCGCTCTCTCTCGCTCTCTCGCGCTCTCTCTCGCTCTCTCGCGCTCTCTCTTTCTTTCTTTCTTTCTTTCTTGGGGGCATGGGGGCAAGGTTCCGGGTCTCTCTCTCTCTCTCCCTCCCTGCCCATCTCTCCCTCTCTCTCTCCCTCCCTGCCCCCCCTCTCTCTCTCTCTCTCTCTCTCTCTCTCTCTCTCTCTCTCTCTCTTTGACTCTCGTGTTCTCTTACACTCCCGGGCCTGTATCTGGTCATGCTCTTCACGCGTCGCCACTTCTTGGGGAACGTCTTCACATACTCCACATCTCGTGCATACTTCCGTTTTATTCTACTAGAAATACGATTGACAGGCAGCTTCTCGTCTAAAGCTGTCGTGTAGACCTCACTGGGCTTGAGATGATCATAAACCTCCTTCATTCGGTTGATGGCGTCGATCTTTGATTTGTAATCCCAATCCTTGGACCGCTCAAGCACCCGAATTGAACGCACGACATGGGCCCGCCACTTTGGGTCAGATGGCAAAGAGTGAGCCACCCTCTGCAGGGTGGGGTATCTAAGACGCGCGATCTCTGATTGGAGTTCCGGCTCGGGCTGTCCAAACTTGGTGCCTCCGGCAACGCCCCTGGGCACAGCGCTGTCAAAGCCAACGTGATTTCGCCACGGATGATGGGTGCCCTCCACTTTTTGCGCAGATGGCTCATCGACTTGGTTCTCTGGCAAAGCGTGGAGCATTTCGTTCAGGGATTGAGATTGGCTGATTGCACCCAGGGCAGCATTGGCCGCTTGAAGCTTCTGCCTCAGGCGCGTGCGCGCATTAAAGTGCCATCGCACGTCTCCTCGGAAAGCAGCCAATGGCTCAAGCACCTCTGGTGGCAGCGCCGCCTGTCGGCGAAGCTTGGTCAAATCCGGATGCTGGTCAAGTAGCCGCGGCAAACAGCGTTCATCGAGCTGGTTGCGGACACACCTCTCATGCAAAAGCCGCTCCATTGCAGTGCGCTTCATCATATATGGATTGTCAAAGTCTGCTAACTCATGCGTCAGCACGGGCCGGTTCTGGTCTGCATATTCACCTTGCACAGCTTTCTTCAGAACATCTGCCAATCGATCGGTGCGAAATGCCAGTTGTTCTCGTTCCGGAATGTCCTGGCAAGCCAATCAATATGCTCTGTTCAGGGCTCCCCATTTGTCATGCACACCTACAAGTAAAGCTGCACTGCGTTCACTGGGTGCATGTTCACGGAAAGCTGGCCTCCTGCAGCTTCCGATGATGCTGTCGATAATACTCTGCCTTCCAGAGGTCTTCGAGTATGGACTGCTGTCTCCAGCCGTCTTGAAACTCCTCCTCCTGGCCAGAGTTCATGTTCAGCACAAACAGTGCCTGTGTTTGGTAGACGAGGAATTCTACACTGAAGCAATGTGGCAGAGGCGCCTCCGCCTCATACTCTTCTTCTTCCTCTTTGTACCCCTCATTCAAAAGAGCATAATTGCGCTTTGCTCTCCGGCGACGTATGATGTCGTATCGCTTTTGGAGCGACAACCCTTCACCTGCACGGCTGCAGGTACACATGAAAGCAACGTCCAAGTAACATGTTTGTGCACAACGCACTTACCACCATGCACGTTGGAGAATTGCAGTGCTCAGCTGAGGCTGGAACGTTGTGTTCGATACAGCTTCATGAAAATTTCGAAGGCTTCATCTTTTGGATGTTGGCTCTGCGCCTTCCTCCAAGCATTGAACGAACCATAGCCACCCTCGTGCTTGAGGGCGTTCTGGTTTTTGGAGTCTTGTTTCTGTTGGGGGGAGTCGGCTGTGTCTTTGTCTCCACTGTCAGGATGACTGGCGATGCCTGTCGAACGTTTGTCTTGCTTGCCTGCAGCCGTAGAGGTTGCTCGTGCCTCACTTTCCCGGGCACGTGCCAGAATTGCCTTGATGTCTGTCCGTAAGCAATAAAACACGCTAACCGGACTCATCTTCATCGGCATGTCTCGAAGATGTCGCTGAATTCTGTTCGTGATCTCAACTTCTGCATCATACAACACATCACCGACTCGGGTGACTTTGCCGGCTTCTGCATCTCGCAACCGGTCTTGAACATGCCGTAGGTGAGAAGCCAAGTGTTGGAACGAAGTCCCAGAGTTCATTGCGAACCTTCGATGGCCCAAGCGTAAAACTCCACCACATCTTGCACCCACCTCAGAGGCAGTGGCGATCGCCTTCCTCATGTCATCATTTCAGCGATGCTCACATGCTGCCTGTGGGGTAGTCTCAAATCACGACCGATGTTATCTAATCTACAGGAAGGGTGACGGTACATTGGCTAGTTATTGCGTGTGTGTATGGGTGCGTCTCCTTTGGCCGCGCAGTCTCACTGACCAATTCCTTGTTACAGTCGCGGTGCGTGCTTCTACAAAATCAAAGTGAGCTTTGAGCCAACCGGCAAGGACCTTGTACCTGCAAACACTCACCCCTTGTATTCTTTAGTGGATGGGATAGGATAGCATAGGATAGGATAGGATTAGGCTTAGGATCAGATAGGATAAGGTAACGTCAAACACATGCCCTCGACTGCATCTTCGGCCGTGTTAGCCTTCACCTCCGGCTTGTTGGATCTTATTCGCACGGCGTGGTTGGGTGTGGACCTGCTCGATCTTCACTGCACCTCCACTGACGGTCACGGGCGCTCATGGCTCCGTTCTGGTGGATTGGATTCATTCGCTACACGGCCAGTCCGCTACTCGGTCCAATCGCTCTGAAGCTCTCGCTCTTTGGGCATCTTTGGTGTCTTCAATGGGCATCTCATTGCCGTACGTCGACTCCACTGCCGCCGATTTGAAGGTACACGAGTTGTATTGTTCGGCGACAGGTTCGGCTTATGTGCTGCCCACGAGTATCTCATGCTTGCATTTCGCTACGTTGCTCCGTGGGCCAATCCGCTAGGCAAGCCCTGCACGTCAGCATCACCACTCAAAATGAGCAGATTCAGCGCCTGATTGGTAACATCACCGCTTCCCTGCCGGCCTCTTCCAGTTTACATGAGCAAGTGGCCACGGTGGATGTCTCGTGGATGCCTCCTTCCAGGCGCTGCTGGTTATCTGCTCAGGTTGTTTTCCGCGCCGTGGTTATGCACTTACGGTTTGCTATCCTGGTTGGGCCACCTTGCGGGGGGGGGGCTCATGGTGCTGGCATCGTTGTGAGTTTGCTGCGGAGTAACACCTTCAACTTCAACCCTTTCCGCAATTTCCATGGCAAGACTGCAGGCGGTATGGGGCGAAAGGACTGTTCTTGTCACGGCTACAAGAAGATGAGCCGGAGCTTTGCTCAGGCAGTTGCAAGTCATCAATGTGCGGGAACATGTTGGATGAAGGATGCGGGATGGAGCTCAAACAGGCATGAAAATTTCCTCGTTTCACATTGGGCTCACATGTTTTGACCCTTGGTGGGACGGAACTCGCTAGCCTTTCAGCTCCTCTGGCGTTGACAACACGGCCGCAAGCTGTGGATCGACATTGCCTGGCTCATTACCCAAAGGGCCCCACCCGCGAAGTGTGCTTGCAAGCAAAGATGTGCCGCGCTCCAGCGCCCCGCAAGGAACAATCTGTGGAGATGACAAGCAGACAGCTCGAGCACCCTACGCCCCCCAGCATCCATGAAGGGGTGTATGCCGTGATTACGCATGATGATGCTACAGGGAACCGGCAACACGTGTTCTGCGCACCACACCCCAGCTTCCGAAACCGCTGCCGCTGTCGACGACATGTACGGGAACCAATCGAGTCCGGATGGACAATGGTGGTGAATTCGGGCAAGTTTGCCGCAAAACTTAAAGAACCGAAAATTAGACATGAACGCTCCTTGCACAAGCAAATTCCCTTTTTGAGCGTTTCCAGCGCACAGTTGCGGAAGGCATGGCTTGCATTTTTTTTTCTCGCACATCTTCGTCTTGGCGACTGCAAACGACGGACTATGGGAGGTGCATGGCCTGGTGCGGCCTGGTGGTGGGCAGTGGTAGGCGGCTGGACATGCGGCTGGACGTCAGCCAGCCCGAAAATTTGGCGCCTTTCCATCGACGCAGGACTCCCCGGCCAGCGGGAGCTCAAGGAGGGAGCTACGATACGCGCGCGGTGCCGCGCCCGGAGTGCATTCTGTTTTCTGGCAATCTCTTTTTGTTTTGTCCATGCACGCACCCCCTTGTGTGTATGCGCGCACCTGTAGCGCCGGTGTGCCCAATCACCTTACCAGCTTCGCTTCCATCGGTGTTAAGATTTATTTTTCCGGACTTTTCCGCCGGCATGATGAGGGTCCTGCGAGGTCGGGTTGCCCTGCTCTAGTCACACCTACCGCCCGACTGCGTCTAGCGCAGTGACAGTCGGCCGAGTGCCTTGGCGAGGTAGAGCACACGGTCGCACCCCGAGCTGTCGCTGGCTCGCGTGTGGCGGCGCGGGCCATGGGCTTCCTGGTGGTCACTGCCTGCTGTAATGCTACGGGCAGAGCCGCTCACTACCGTCTTGTCCAAGCGGATGTGGCTGCTGCTCGGCCCGTTCGGCGCGGACGCGCGCCAAGTCTGACGAGACGCTGCGCTGCTTCGTTCCAGCGCCCTCCTATCTTGGAGCCGGCCGCTGGTTCGCATGCGCCTCTTGGCCACTCGCAGCATGGCCCGTTCGGGTGAGCGGCGACACAAGGCTCCCCCCGCAGGCGTTGCTCCGCAGATCACCAAGTGGCGGCGGCGTCTATCGTCCCTGGAGCAGTGGTGTTGGAGAGCCATTGTTGCGAGACTAGAGAGTCCGTCCTCGAACAACCGTTTACGGTCAGTACATTTGTACACTACAAACGGCCAGGTGCATTGGCCGCCGAACAATTCAGTACTACGCTCACAGCTGCTCAAGTGTGTAGCTCAAGTCCTCAAGAGTGGGTTTCCACGCGACGCCATAGCAGTGCCCATGTCAGATCCGACGAAAACCATGACCCCACCTGGCAAAAGCTTGAAAAGACCCACTCGATCCCCTCTTCAAGAACTCGATGATGACGAAGACCTCGAGCTTCAGGATGCTTCCGGATCATTTCAAGATGGAGCAGTTGCTCAGATGGCCAATGCGGTTCGTAGCGAAATCCAGCGTGCGCTAGCTCCGATGGAACAGCAGCTGAGCCACATCCATGTTTCCTTGGGCCAGAGGGTGCAGGAAATGGAAAACACAATGTCGCAGCAGAGCTACCGGATTGAGAAGCTGGAAAAGTTGTTTGAGAACGAGGGGACTCCGCGGTCGACGACATCAGAGAAAGATATTTCTTTGGAAAAGAAGATTGCAGATTTGCAAAGCCAATTGTCAGCATTGAGGCGCACCATGGTTGTCGGAGGACTAGGAGGCTTTTCGTGCACACAGGAAGCAACAAGTTGGCTCACGGACAATTGATAGCCCGCCACACATTGGGAGTTACATAAAGTCGCAAGATTTCCGTGGTTTGTTGTTCGCCAAGTTCAAGTCCACAGTGGACCGTGATACAGCTGTTGCACTGCTCAGAAGTGCTGAACTCCTTGAACATGGTAACAGGGTATGGGCAACACAGGATTTGCCGCTTGAAAAACGTGCTCAGAAAGTTTTCTTGATGGGGTTACGCTGGCAGCTTGGCGAGTGGGGCTTTGTCAAGCGTGAGATCGAGCTTGATGCAAAATAGGCTTGGTTGAAAATCGGTCCCAAAGTTGTTGTCAAACTTGCCATTACCAAGGGCAGGTTGCACTGTGATTGGGAAGACACGTGGGCACAATGGGCAGACTTCCAGGACAGCAAGGAGTTGAATCAGCTTGTGGATCGTGCCAATGATATGTTGCAGAAATCGTCAACGAGAAAGGGGCATGGCAAAAGCAAGCATGCCGTAGCTAGGGACAGCTCCGTTCGAGTCACGTCGTTTCACGAAGGTCGCTCACTTCTGGTCATGTTCCAATTTTCGAAGTGAATAAGCCGACTGATATGTTACATTTTTCGTCCGCTTCCCAAACCACTGGCAAGAGACCTGTATTTTCGGAGGTTGCCGACACCGAGACGTACATACATGAGAATTCCAGCAACGGTGGGTGCTTGCATGAGTTGGTGGTGTATACAAAAAATGCTCGTTTACATTCCGATACAAAATTTGCAGAATTGCTTGGCGATTTACATGACATTGGTGACACGTGGGATGTTGCCCTTTTCAGCGAAACGAGACGGGCATCTGGTGCGGTTGATTTTTTTTTTCCCTCCAACGCACCTTTTGCTCGCGTCAGTGTTCGCGATCCCTGTGCACGGAATCGGCAGGCTGCTCGGGCCGCAGCGTGTCAAGCACGCAAGGGCAACCTGGACTGCTGCTCAGCCTCGGCGAGCTCCAGGACCCAGCCAAGCGGCGTGCCCTCGTCTCCGGTTGGCTGCGCCGGCGCGCGCCAGCAACCGCCCAACAGCGTCGAGGCCAAGGCGCGCTGCAACGCGCATCCCAGCTGCCCCCACCACCGGCGTTCCCACCCGGAGCGGGCAGCAGCTCGCAGCGCCCTCGGCGCGCGCAGGGAGCGCTGTTGCGCGAGGTCGCGGACGAGGTCGTGCGCCTCTTGCCCCCATCGTCCGCCGACCTCCGCAGCCAGGACGACGAGGCGTTGCGGGCCCGGACCGGCTAGTTCGGGGTAGCGCCGTTGTTTGCGCCGCCTCGCGACGTCGATGGCAGCCCCATCCCGATCTGAGGAGCCGGTCTGCGGGTGTCCGTCTGCGCGCAGCGGCGAAACCAGGGTCACATCGCAGCAGAGTGCCTCGCCGCGCCGAGACGCGCCATAAATGACGAGGTCAAGTCGGCGCCGGTCATCTGGGGCTACGCCCGCTGCGGTGGTCCGTGCTAGCCATTGTTGGGGGACCACCCGCCCTTCGGCGGCGACGGCCTCCCGCGCTACTCGGACCCACGCTCGCTCAAGTATGGGAGCGCGCCGGGCCAGCAGCCCACTCCGGGCGCAGGCGGCGCGATGGTCGCCCAGCTCGTCCACCACGGCTCGGCACCCTGGCTCGCCATGTCCTCCGCAACGGGAAGATGCCATGGGTAGCGGCAAGCGAAGGCGTCGCCGGAGAGCGACTTGCATGTCCAGCGGCAGAAGCTGCGTGCCCTCGTCCGTGGGGATTGCTCGCAACCACTCGCCGGCATGCGCGCCCGCCTGGGAGCGCAGCAGTGCTCGGGAACTTGGCGACAAGCTGCAGAGGAGGCGCTCGCGGTAGGATTTGTTGAGTACGCAAGCTGCCGGTTTCTGCCAGCCATGTGGCCAACTTCCAGGCTCTGAAGGCTCAGCGTGTGTAGGCGGCGGCCGCGCCCCGTGGAGCAAGGCATCCCACTCCGGGCGCGCTCTCCATCCTTCGGCGAGCAGCCGGTCACCCGCTTCCGCAGCTGCCCGCAGGCACGGCGCAGTCGACCCGCCGCCAAGAGCGAGTTCTTGCGCATATCGGCGGGCAACCTCCGGGCGTCTTTGCAGCATCACCGGGAGCGCGTCCGCCCAAGCCGCCCAGTAGGCCGCTGGGGCTAGTCGCTCCGCGCTCGCGAGACCGAGGCCACCACATGCGGCAGGGAGGAAGGCGATTTGGCGCGCTGCGGTCCACTCCCGCCCGCTCGCATCCCGCTCCGCTAGAAGGTGGTGGAGCGTTGCCCAAAAAATCGCCCGATCGTGTTCTGCCGCATAGGTGGCCGAGTCCAGCGGCGGCACCGTGCGCAGAGCATGTTGGGCACGCGGGCTGGCACAGTAGAGCAGGAGCAGCCATGCGCTCTGCATATCAGGCAATTCCGGCAGTTCGTGCAGCAAGCGGCGCTCTTCCTCAAGCCTTGCCGCGAGAGTGCGTCGCACGAACTCCGTGTGCCCGATCGGCACGCCCAATGCAACAAAGCCGCAAGTTGCCGGTTCACTGTCACCTCCGCACCAGACTTCGGGTCCGAGCACTGCGATATCGGGCGGGGGCGGCCCGCCACTTGCGCGATAGACCCGAGTCTTCCCGAGATTAGCTGCGACACCAGCCTGCCGCTCGACCGTGCGCGTGACATCATCTAGCGCTGACCGGGAGCGAGCTGGAGTGGTGACGAGGTACAAGTCGTCCAGAAAAGCGGCAAGGAACTCCCCCGGCTGCAATCGCCCTTGCGCCGCAGCTAGGGCATCGCGTTGCGCCAGGGAGTACAGAGCCGGCGCTAACGCATCTCCCTGCTCGCAGCCGTCACCTTGCGAGATCTCGTGGCGCCGGCCCTCGGCGTCCCACCACAGGTACGTGGAGGTGCCGCCGTACCACGCCCGCACATATGGGACGAGGGCTGGAGCGACCTCGCGCAGCTTCTTCAGGAAGGCGGCACGTGAGACCGTGTCATAGGCGCTCCTTCCGTCGAGCGAGACGATGGTGGCGTCGGCATCCAGCTCGCTCGCCGCGCGCAGCATCGCTGCCAAGCAATCCGTCCCCGCACGGGCCTGAAGCGCGAACTGGAAGGGCCGCGTGGCGCGGTCGAACGTGTCAGCATACTGTCGCGCCAACGCTCGTGACACCAGTCGGCGTAGCGTGTCTCCAGTCGCGATCCCGCGCACGCCGCCGCCGGGCTTGGAAAGGGCGGTGAGCCGGGACAACGCGAGGGCTTGCAGCACGGCGGCGGGCGCATCAGCATTCGCCAAAAGGGATGCCGCGTGCGCTAGCAAGTCCATCGCCTCCTCGTCCTCCAGCAGCAAGCGATAGTGTTCCACCGCCGCGCCGGACAGGCCAGCAGCGCTGCCACGCTTAGCCGTGCGCAAAGCTTCTCCCAACTCAGCTGCAGTGAGGTGGACACGGTCTGCTGCACGGAAGCTGGCTATGTCGTCCGGCATCGGCTGGCGCGGACGGGGCGGTCGCTTGTCGGGGTCCGAAAGGAGGCGTAACGTAGCCGCATTGCCCGGCGCCAAAGGAGCGCTGGTGAGCGTCTGGCGCGCGCGCGACAACTGACCGCGGCGTACCTGCGCGCAAGCGCGCTCGCGCATCCGCTCCGCATCAGTGCCTGCGGATCGCTGCAGGCGCTGCTCCGGAGACGGCGCCGCTTCCAGCAGTTCGCGCCAGCACCCAGCCTCGAAGGCTCGGATCCGCTCTAATAAGGCGGCGCGGCCAGCTGCACCCGTTTCGTGCGGTCGCGCCAACAAAAGGCGTGGCACCAGCAGGAACAGCTTCCAGGCACGCTCTGCTGTGACACCGGCCGCCGGGTTCGGCGCGTGCAGGCCACGCAGCGCGTGCACGAACGCACGGCGCACGCCAGCAGCGAGAAAGCGTGGGACATCGCGCATCGTAGGGACCGGTGTGGCAAAAGCGTCCCTCAACTCGACTGTGTCCAGCCATTCCCAGGACGCTCGGGCAACTCGCGCACGCGCGCCCGGCGTCGAGGCGGTCGTAGCTGCGTGGGGGCCCTCGTCGACAATGGCGGAGGATTTTGATGGGCGACATCGATTGTACTTTTCACATCAGCCGACTTCATGTGCAGGAGTCGGGATTCTAGTTCATGAACGACATTGCAAACATGTGAAGCGAACAGTTGTTGTCAATGAGCGCTTGATGTATGTGGATGTCACAACTTTTAACAAAACTGTCCGATTTGCAGCCGTTTACATGCCACATGCGGGTTATCCTGACGCTGAAATGCGGCTTGTGTATGAGCGTTTGCATCAAATTTTGGAAGATGCTAGATCCAAGTCTTTTGCTTGTATCGTGGGAGGTGATTTCAACACGCAGCTACATGTGGGCCTACGTGGTGATTTGTTGCTACAGACATTGCACATGTGTCAATTGCACGTTGGTGATTCGGAACCTGACAATTCGTGGGCATTTTGCAGTTCTATGGGGATCACACGTCGCATTGATTGCATTTTTTACACGCGGAACATGCTGAGGCATCAGACGATTTTTTAGATTTGGGTTCCGATCACAGGTCGGTGGTAGCAAAATTTCACAGATTGAATTTCCGTCACAGCAAGCGACGGAAAAACCATCATCGTGCGCAGTACGATTGGAGTCCTGATCACATGGTTCGTTATCAAAGATCTCTGACGAACAGCTTGGCCAGAGAGACATGATTCGCAGGGTGTGGTTTTGGAAATGCTGTGTTATGCTCCCGAAGGCCTCTTAATTCCCCTTTTGGAATTGCACAATCGGTTCTTGCAAGAAGGACGCATGGATCCATCGTGGAAACATACATATTCACTATGTTGGTTAGGAAAGGAGACAGGTCCAACGTGCAACATTGGAGGCCTGTTGCTTCGCTGAAGGTGATTTACAAAGTACATCAAAGTACTGTCCAAATAGGTGCATGGACGACTGCAACCCCTTTTGGACAAAAAGAAATCAGTTGAGCAAATGGGAATTCGACCCGGCTCTGGCGTTGATCATGCGTTATGTGCATTTGACAGTGTATGTGCAAAGGCGATCGAAGTCGACTGCGATGTTTGGTTTGCCAGCATTAATTTACGAAAAGCTTTCGACCAAATCCATCATGAAAGCTTATTAGTGGCATTGCAAGAGCAAGGAGTTCTCACTGAGTACATCGCTTTGTTGAGGACTTTGTATTCTCAACAAACTGGATCTGTCGCTGATTTTTCCCATTCGACGCGGAGTGAAGCAAGGTGACGTCATCATTCCTATCTTGTTTAATGCTGGGCTAGAACACGCAATCAGGATGTGGAAGACACATTTGCTTGACCATGGCATCAACATCGGCTCTACCGCGAATTTGACGAATGTGCATTTCGCCGACGATTTAATGCTGTATCCGGTGCAGGTCGGGTTTGTGAATCGTTCTGTGTCCCGTCGGCGAAACAATGGCATCAAAGAACTCTTAATCGTTTAGGCGGGGAAACGTTGCGATCACGTAAAATCCAGCCGTTTGTACATGCTGTTGCCATGCCTGTTTGCCACCAAAAAACCATGGCTTGAGCCAAAATGGCCACAAAAAGGGCACGCTCACTTTTCACATGTGGGGGAAATTCATGAAACACAAGCAAGTTCTGCAGAACAATCATATTGCTGTATATTGCAGTTCGAAATCGGCTGAAGTATTTCGATGCGGTGATTACTCCCACTGTGCTGTTCAGCTTGCACACACTGCCCCTGACCCCAAAGCAACTTCATGACCTTAACGTCTTTTGGTTGGCGACGGGTGGATGGTGAGCCATGGTTTGACACCATGACGTGCGTGAACCAACGTGTCGCCTCAGCCCTCGAACAGAACCGTGTCACTGCCTGGGACCAGCGATTGCTGTCAAGGCCGTACACTTTTGCGGCAACCGTGACGAAAAGTCAAAACGACCCACGAGAGTTGTGGGCCGGCCTCGTGCAAAATGGGATGATCGACTGTCAAAGTTGCTGTCCAATGCTTTCCAAACTATGTGAGTTGGGTTGATGCTGCATGTGATGTTGAGCGATGGAAGCTCAAACAAACTGAGTACATAGAAATGTTCAAAATGGAAATGAAATTGCCTGTAGTTTGCGAACGCTTTTCCAGCAACCTGTCCCATGTCCTGATAGGACCGTAGCTTGACTCGAACGGGCAGAAGCAAAAGCAAACGCACTGCGCGAGATCGTGTCGTAGGCGCTGCGACCATCCAATGACACGCAGAGCCGAGGTCGACAGCGGAGCGGAGCATGCCTGAGAGTGCGTCCGTGCCAGCCCGCGTCTGCAGCGCGAACTGGTGCGGCCGGGTCGCTTCGTCGAACGTGTCGGCAAACGTCCGGGCAAGGCTGCATGACACCGATGCGAGTTTGCATCGCATGAACTCCGTATTCCCGATCGGCACGCCCAGCGCAACGAAGCCGCAAAAGCGTGCCAGAGTTTTTTTTCTGGTGGCTTTTTGCGTCCGCTGCAGTCGGGGTCGGGATGGTCGGGGACCTACGCCCTGGGGCCTCGCTCCAGCGGGCGTCAGCTAGGAGCTCGTGAAAAGCTGGGGGTGGGCCAGCAGCACAGGGCTGAGACAGGATGGGGGGGCTCGAGGAAGATCGCCGCAAGCGCGTTCTGCGCAGCGACGGAAATGATGCTACTCCACCGGAGGACCACGCAGCCTGGGCAGAAGCCCTTAACGCGGCGGGAGGCGAACGAAGGTGGCAGCCTCAGAGCCCCAGCGCCCCCCTACTTGAAGCCCAAAAACGACGAGTCGGCATCGCCGGTTGCGATCGAGTTCGGAAAAAGTTTGCCGCCGCTTGCGGTGCGCAGCGTTGCGTAAGGCGCTAGGCGCTGGCCGCCCCAGCTTGCGGCAGCTCCTCGCGCGTCACAGGGCTGACGCAGGTCGCATCGACCGCGAGCTGCGCGCCGTGCGTCAAGTTGAGGCCGTTGCAAACGATTTTTTTTTTTTCGACTTCGATGTGCCGTGCGTCCTGGACAGGCACGTCGAGGTTCATGGCCGACAAAGCGACGTTGCGCCCGACACGAGCGCCGGCCTCCTGGCAGACCCGGGCTACAGCGCGCTCAAAGGGCAGCTCGCGGGATGCAAGAACGCCAGAGTTGGAGCAGGCGCGGTGATCTCCGTACTCGTCAAGGAAGCCACGGCAGGAGCTGGCGCGCGGACCGAGGGGAGTCAGGCACGGCAACAATGGCCGACGTGGGCAGAACCGTGAAGACTCTCGCAACCAGAATCTGGACTTGATGACTGCTGCCAAAAACAATGTGCTGAGGTAGCTGGACTTCCGTTGTCGTTATCACCGTTCTTTTTTTTCTCACCGTCTTTTCGGCGCTCAAAATCAGGCCAACCTCACCAAGTGGTGCAATGAGTAAATCACGGGTGCGGCGTGCTTCTTCGTTAGATTTGGTGAAACGAAGGATATCATCAGCAAGTCGCCGGCCCAGAAGTCGTGGCAAGCCATCCCCGAAATCAAAACCGGCCGTCCCAACCAAGTCCTTCCATGACTCATTGCCCCATTCCAAAACAGCCCAGGACAAACGTGGACTAAGAACGCAGCCTTGTCTCACACCGGCACGATTTTTGCCTACCGTGCAAAGCGGCAGGAGCGTGCTGAGCTCTGAGCTGCACCAGTTGGGTGACGAAGCGGAGGGACTCGGCGACTCGGCGTTCCACCGCACTCCGGCCTCGCAGGCTAGAACGCAGGAGTCGCTGAGGGACCAGGTCGCAGCCAGAGTAAGCGTTCAGCGACAGCGATCGCGGCTCCATCGCGTGAGGCAGCGGAGGGCTGGGGCCCCGTTCTCGCGTCGACGGAGCGGGCCGGTGTGGTGACCCAGTAGATGTCATCGAGGAAGGCCGCCAAACACTCAGTCGGTGCGCAGCTGCTCGTCTGCAGAGGGCGTCATGTTGGCCGAGCGCGTACAGCGCTGGGGCTAGCGCGTTGCTTTGCTCGCAGTCTTCCCCCTGCTGGATGGTGTGCTGCTGGTTCCCGGCGTCCCACCAGTAGTATGTGGACTGCTGCCCGTACCATAAGCGCACGAAGGGGACGAGCGCCGGCGGCCTGCGCTAGGTGATGTCACCCGCACGGTCGAGCGGCATGCGCTGCGCACATGCCGCGCTCCAGGTCGCGTGCCCCGCCTGTGACACGGCCAAGGCGTAGTGCAACACTTGTTCGCCGATGCCGTGGCACGCATCGTTGTCCAGACGCGTGCGACAGCAGTTTTGTTTCTTTCTGTGGTGTTTCCATGTCCCCGATTTCCCGGCCTACAAAACTGGACCCGACCACGCCACTGGCACACGCCACACCGGCTGCACCCGACACTTGCGCATTGTGTCAATTGCCCTTTCATGCTGATGCCGATCCAATCTAATTTTTTTACTGGCCATGTAGATGCGGTATGCGCATACATTTGTCTTGTGCGTTACAAGTGCACCTTCGATCAGAAACTCCCACATGTGATGTGTTATTGGCGGCCGCTGCACTGCAAGCAGGGCTGTCGATTCAAAAACACATGGGGGCCACTGCCCAATCAAGAAGAACCTAACATCATGAGTGGCATGCCACCTCCTCTGCGCCGCGTTCTGGTGTTATGCTGAGCGTGGTATCAACCGCGACTTGCGCTCCCTGGTAGAGGGGGAGGCCGTTGGCCAGTACCTCGATGCGGCGGGCAAGCGGTACATCCAGGTTCATCTCGCGGAGGAGGACATTGTTGGCCACCCTAGCGCCCGCTTCGCGGCACACTCTCGCGGCCGCTCGCTCCAGGGGCACGCCGCGCGGGCCCAACACGCCTGGGCAGGCCGTGTGGTGGTCACCGCAGACGTCGAGAGCCCCTCCGCAACGGCAGGCGTCGAAGCAGTAGGACGCGCATGCACTCACTCGGCGGAACTCAGGTGCCGTGGGGAGC